CTCGCAACCACGATCTTAGCATCTATCTTGTGTACACGCCGTTCAATCTTCCGAACCGAGATTTCGTCCTTCCGATTATTATTATTGTTATTATTTTTATTATCATTGTAGTTTATGTGGTTTTTTCAAAAATTCTGCTAAATCGGCTGAGAATACTTACATACATACCCAAGTACTTACATTGCAATTGTTCCACCACTGGTTTCAGAATAAACGACACGCACGCGAGAAATACGGGCAAGAATGTGTGCGTATATCAATCAAATCGAACATACCAACTGCGGAGTGTATTTCATTTGATTACAGCTTTTTGTCGTAATTATGTAGGTTTAAAGTATATCACTACATTTATGTTTTAAGACTATTTATTATTCAATGAAAGTAGCCCAGAGCACTTTTGCTGGGAGATTTCTGAAAATAATTGACAAATGATTAGTGTTGATATGCCTCGCACTTGACATAATCGTATAATTGGATGTTTTTATTTGAGTCTGTGTCTAATTGGAGGTGTTGCAGATCTAAAAACTGTTGCAAATTCATTGACATGTGCAATAGTATTTTTCTTGTCAAAAGCTGCGATTACTTTGGTCATTGGCTTCGTTTTTTGTGTAGGTCTAGTCACTAACCTCCTGTGCCACATTGTTGATAGCATGTCTATTTATGGAAAGTGATCAGAATCGTTCTGAAATCTGAATAACTCTTCATTCATTTCTGTATTCCGTAGAATAAGTGGAATTAAAACATGCCAATAATAGAAAAAAGTAACCTCAGTAACATGAATGAAAAAAAAGAGACTAAAGGCGCGTCCACATTATGTCGAATGTGCCGATCGACTCCGTCGACGTAGTGTGGACGTGTCGATCAACTAAGTCGATCGACAAATGTCGAGTCGAATGTAATCCGAATGAAATGGATTTTCCGACAGTCGAATGAAAATAATTGTCAAGGGTGGACGTGTAGAACGTGTCAACAAAGTTTTAAATACTTAGTTTTGTGGAAACCTGTAATCACAGGATACAACCGGAGCAGTGGTACTAATATTATAAATTCAGTTGTACTGTACTTTTTTCTCCCATTAACAAGACTAGGTCGAATCTGAAACCTCCTTTAATGATGTACATGTTGGATTACAAGCGCGGACATAAATATGGCAGTAGCAGCAACACTAAACATAATTTATTTAGAATATTTCCCACTCACGCTCTTCTCACTCAACTACTCACAGTCGACTGATGAAATACATCCACACAGTAGTATTATGTGTGGACGTGGAAACAGTCGCCTATGTCGTTCAACATTGTCGATCGGCATGGTGTGGACGCCCCTTTAGACAAGGGCATTTTTTACACTGAGAATAACCTTCAAAAACCATCATTACTTTGAAATACTCAATGTAGGTATTGTGCTTTTGGGAAACACTACATACCCGTATACTGTGATTGTTTTCTATGTTTGGATGAATGTGAATATATGATCATTTCTGTTCTTCATACAGGTTATTTACATCTCGTATTTTCAAATAGCTTTTATTAATTTATTATACGTGTAGTTAATAACGACTCTGAATATGAATAAGGCCTGATAAAAACACACAAAGAGGATAACCTCATAAGAGAGAACTAGGAATACGTCTTAACAAGTTGTTCAAAATATTACTAATTTCATCCCACCTCACAGCATTAAAAATTCATCGAATTTAGTAAAAAACATAAGGCACCAAACCACGCCACATAATTCAATTTTAGTTTCATTCGATGTAAAGAGTATGTTCTCCAACATACCCCTCATTTTAGACATATTAGGTCAAGCTAAAGTAAACCATATCACTTCCTTTGAAGTTTCAACTTTCGATGTGTGCCTAAATCAGAGCTACCTACAGTTCAACAACATATTTCATAAATAGGATTCAGGTTTACCAATGGGCTCACTTCTTAGTCCACTTTTAACAGATATATTTATCAACAGCTTGGAGACCACTGTAGTAAATTCCGACCTGGGTAAAAAACATATTCATTTTTGGTACATATATGTAGACGATATTCTCGCCTGTTTCAGAGGTACTACACGACAGCTGAACCAATTTATGACATTGATGAATAATCTCAATAGCAACATTCAGTTTACACTCGAAACAGAGATAGAGAAACAGATAAATTTCTTAGACCTGGCCATTACACACAATCAGAATAAATTTGAGTTCAATGTTTTCAGAAAACCTAGCTATGCAGACATTAGCATCACAAGCGATTCTTTCCATCCAGACAGTCATAAATTAGCAGCCTATAATTAAATGTTCCACAGAGCATTCACACTTCCTTTGTCTGCTAACAATCTAGCTAGAAAAATTGATATCATTACACAGATAGGTGTAATGATAGATAATAATGGTTTCAACGCAGATACTATCCAGAAGTTAGTCAGAAAACAAAGCCGTAAATTCACTTACAGATCACCAGAAATCAAGAAATGGGTAACTCTAACATATTTTCAAATCATTCCTTGCCATGCAACCACAAGTTCCCGAATCTAAACGATTCGAAAATTTTGCACTATGCAAGGAAGGGTTACAAACTCAATCATTTAGAATCCTTGGAAATTCACAAGCATAAACATTGCGGGTGCAACCTGTTAAATGATCAAATCGATTTAGTTTACTCACCGGTTTTCAAATTAGCACATCCGCATTGTAAATTGTCAATTCAGGTACTCAATCAAGCCAAGTACCTCTTCTATTTCCTACGGAGGTGCTATATAAAGGCTGATGTAATAAACCATTGTTAGTTCAATGTATAAGTTTGAAAATGTCCTTATAGGACGAAACTGCAGTAACGTTAGTTACAAATAAAAGTGGTAAAAAACATAGAAGTTTCAATTCTCTTTTCTTCAACTGAATAAATTTACTACAGGTTGTGATAACTCAATTTATTGCAAGCTTTGCATGTTATGGAGGACTATGTATTATCCCTAAAGTTTCGACATAGAACAATTAATTACAGATTACAACTAACAAAAATTCACAGTGATAACTCACCTGAAAGAAGACATCTTTCCAACTTGAATTTGAACGAAGGATTTGACAGATTTTTCAGATCATTTGGGATTTTGTTATAGATTCTGGTTAAGTTATTCGACAAAGCCCTGACTCGTTGCATGCAGTGGTGTCGTGATTCTAGATTTGAATCGTACGTTCAGTTGGTGAACGTCAGTCCGGCACCCGGGGCACCCGACTTGACACGGATAGACGCAGTCGTCGCGTATTCTTATCGATTTCAAGTAACTCAATAAAGCTATTCCATAATGACTAGTTTTGAAAGAGTGAATTAACTCATTGTCTTATATAACAATGAGTAAAAGAATTTCAGTTGTTTGCACCTGATAAAAACGTGTACTCTATATAATTAGAGTTTCTGGGGTCCGTTTCTTTTTCAGTCGAAGATAAGCAAGCACTCAATTTCTCAGCTATCGCAAAAAACAAAACCACAAACAAGTAAGCAGGTATATGTTTCGCGTGGTCGAAAATCGATAAGTGGGTAAATATTTGATCTACTCGTGCCTCAATTTAATTGATAACCTTCTTTGGAAGCAATATTGATTTAGTGATATTATACCAAGTGTCGTCAAAGACGACAATTTGTTTGTTTTCTATACAAGATGTTTTTGAATGTCTTGTGAATAATCCATAGGGTGATTCTATGGACTCTGATTGTCTAATTCACATAATTTTGACTCGCCTCCATCGAAAATTATGCTTGAGGTGACATTCAATTCGAAATTTAACACAGAGGTATGCTAACAAACAGTTTGAAAGTTATGAACAATTTATTCAATCAAAACGAGCATCAACAAAATTATTTCATTCCATTAAATATTCGATACTTGGTAAATAAACAATAATGAGCTGAAAAAAACTGTTATCGCAATTTTCTTCTCAATTATACTTTTGTTGGTAAAGTTTTTCACAGATGATAGTTCAGATAATAGTTTACATAAAAACTATTCATTTTTAAACTGAAGCCTGGATTTTTTGCAGCTATTAATTAAAGACTATTAATTAAAGAGCATCCTTCATGGAAAACTTAGAAAAATATATTTTTCCATTTATTTATGAACAAACAATTATGTTGAAAAAATACGAATAAAGCATTCGAGATTTTTTTTTTAATTTTCCGATTGGATGGTACTCTCATTGATAAAACCTACTTTCGAAAAGTCTAGATTATAAGATTAGCTCCTAACTAGAACTAGAAAAATTCAGCCAGTTACGTCAAAAAACTTGTTAGGAAAGAAAGGGCTAGGACCCGAAAACCATGGACATCAATAATATATTTTTGAACACGGTGTTTTCGAAAATATAAGAGGCGTGAAATAAGATTTTAAAAAACATCTTTACAGTTTCAGTTGTTTAGGTGTTTAGGTGTTTAGTTTGTTGGTGAAACGCATTTTGTGACGATTATGTAGAGGTCAAGGATATTCCAAAAAAGTGCATTGGGATTTTCTAACCTGGTATATTATTTATAATTAAAAAATTGCGCAGTTCTTCAAACTACTCCACGGTGATGAACGTAGTTTTATTCGTTCGATTCGTGCAAAAATAAGTCATTTTTGGTAACAATGCATATCAATAATGTACTTTTTATTGCCATCGACATTTTTGTAAGAACTGCGTATTAAAAAGTTGATAAAACGACGTTGTTGTCAACTTCAGTGCATAACTAACCACTGAATACGATAATGATAATGATATCTGTACCGTCAAGGTCTAGCATACCGAGAAAATTTCTTCGAAACTGGGTTGCTAATCAACTAACCTTCAACAAGAATTTGTGAAAAATTATGTTGTCAAACGCACTGCTAGTTTTTCATAATTCCTTCAGCATGAATAATGGACTCCGATTAGGTAAGATGAGAGAGGTGAACGTGTTTTTAATTCGTTAATAATTTTTTGAAAAAACTCTTCAGGTCAATAACTTTTAAGTTTACTACAAAGGTTAAGGTCCACTTTTCATGAAAGATGCATGGGTCGATTTAAAAAATTAATTCCCATTATTTCTGGAAAGAATTACATACATGAAGGTGTAATTCAAACGGGGTCAGATCAGGTAATCTCACAGGCTAATCTGTGTCTTTCTGATATTATTTTGGTATCCATTCAGAATGGTTATTTTCTATATGGTGTTATCTAAAGCTGTCAATGTTAGAGTGTTATTTCTCTCCAAGTTGAGATGTAGATTGTCCTACTTTTCGGTTGAGAACTGCATCTAAATCTATTTATTTTGTTGTAGATAAATAAACATCAACTAAGAGAGCTGCTGACTCTACCAGAATGGACCTCCCTTGTAGGAAATTCACATTCAGGTGAGTTGTACCTGTATTTGAAAAAAGTATTTTTGTTATCATTCAGAATATTGGAAGATGAAACTGTGCCATTTCTTATGTTTTGACTGGTTTTTCGTGTTTTTTTGAAACACGAGTAGGTAATATTGGAGTATTTTTTTTAAAATCATCGTTATCAATGACAAAGCAATGATTCACAGGTATCACTGATCACATTAAGGAAATTTCTCTTTCGATCCTGATAATAGGATTGGATATTCTATCTATCATTCTAACATGATTGAATTCCTTGAATTATTGATATCTTGGCCTCATTTAGATAAACAGTATCTTTTAAAGTACTCTGAGGAAAAAAGTCAAGTCGGATAAGGTCCGGAGACTTTTGAGGCACTACTTGAGTTCCTATTAATTTGCTAGAAAAATTGTCGATTAAAAAAATCACACACTATTATTTCTTTTTATGCAGTGATGGAGATTGTGGAACAACATATTCCGAATTTGTGCTCATCACAAAATGTTGAATTGTAGTAAAACATGGAAGGCTGAGTTATTCCTGTCGAAGAGATCACAATATATTTGACATGGTTTCATCTGTCCAAATGTAATTTTCATGAAAACGCTTCAGGAAGCTATTCAGGGCCGCATTTAGGGGAGGGCAGGCGAGGCTACTACCCGGGGCCTCACAATAAATATAAAAAATATCAAAATCTTGACAGGTTAGCAACATTTTTTTGCATTTTTGCTAAGAATACTTGCACAAATATAATAATATTGTAATCGATATATCAGAAAGCTCTAATCTCAAGTTTCCATTTATTATGATTTTTTTTTGATCGAATAAGTATTTCAGTGGCAATACTTCTTACTTCATTATAGTAAAAATCATACAATTTACTTCAATATGAATTTTTTTAATGTGTAATTTGTACCCGTGAGTTAAGGACTAATGAAATAGGTAAAAGAAATCCGAAAAATAATTAATTATTCGGGTCCCTCACTCTTTCGTTGCCTCAGGGCCTTCAGACTTCCAAATCTGGCCCTGAATCTATATGTATAGCGAACGCCATATTGTAATCTGACCAGTGAAAGACACAATCAAGTGTTAGTTGAATAAGTTTTTAGAAAAAACTTTTTGGATTTCTACTTCTCCATCTTGAAATAAAGTAGGATAATTAAGAAATAGCAGGCTAGTTACATGCTTAATATTAGCTTTACCTGTATGTATGTATGTTTGTAACTCTCAAGCTTGGTATCTGTATTTGACAGAATTATTGCTTGATCTATTCGCTGGCAGATGGCGCTGTACGTAACATCCTATATATTGAAATTATTGCTTAATCTATTCGCGGGCAGATGGCGCTGTACGAAAATATCAATGGTCGTTTTTCTAAACAATATACGGCTGATTGATCCCAAAGTTTAGATAAAATAAATATAGTTTAAAAAACTATAAAAACACGCTTTTAAAGAACATCGAATTGAAAAGTATTTTTTTTAAAATAAGCTCAAGACAATAACGAACGAGAAATACTAGTATTATTGGGCGCTTTGTGCCATATTTTTTGTATATCAAGCGTCCGTCGCTTTTCTCACAATAATACTAGTATTTTTCGTTCGTTATTGTTTTAAGCTTATTTAAGAAACAATAATTTCAACTTTTCAGTTCGATGTTCTTCAAAATCGTATTTTTTAGTTTTTTAAAACCATATTTATTTCCGAATATTACTGGAGTTTTTTCCCAACACCAAATCGTTATTTTTAGGAAGATAAAACAATCTTTCTCTTGAAGATGATCACTTGGTGATCGAAACACGTGTCGAGGTGTAAAAATAACGATATGGTGTTGGGAAAAAACTCCAGTAATATTCATTACTACACCAAAGGTTCCAAACAGTACATCATAAGTATATATTTATTTCCGTCTATCATTCCTTTTCAAAATCTTGATTCAAAATTCGTCAAAAATACATTCTGTGTAGCGTCTATATTATCTGGTAGTGATCTCTTGTAGATAACATTATCTTCAAGATACTTTTTGATCCATCTATTAGTGAACAAATATTCTAGGATGCTCTTTGTACACAAAGTGTTGTCACGCAACTGTACCTGATGAAAATCGTCAGTATTCGTAGTGAACTAGTTTTTGTAGCTGGTAATTATTAGTGATGGTCAGTTGGTATTATGAGAAGATGATAATAATTATAATATTCTTCTTAAGGAAATGCCAGTAATTTATATAATCATGGTCAAAGAATGTCGATGGAGAGGGAAAGAGAAACACTTCTAATGGTTCGGCTTTCAGTGGTTGTAAATTTGAGCTGCAAAAAATATTTGCAAAATCGAAAGGGATCTTCTATTAGGTACTTCACTTACAGCACAGGACTGAAAATTTATCACATCAGTGACCTTATTTGAGGCTTGGAACAGTATCCGTTTTTGATTAGATACATATTTCCTTGACAATAAATATTTGAATTGAAGAAACATGAATTATGTATTGAGATATTTTCCATGAAACACGAAATATATCAGATATATTATTTATTGATTCCTCCAGTTGATTGTCCTACTTTTTGCCCTACTTGCATGGTAACATAAAATCTATAGCTGACGTAAATAATTTTCTTCATTTCGATCAACGGTTCGGACACGTCATTATTTTTCCCACACAATAACAACTCATCGTAACAAACGATCAATCGATGTTTTTGTAGAGATACTATTAGGATTAATAATAGAAAATATCGACCGGTTTCATCGCAAGAATGAACCATTACATCTGTACAGAGTGTAATTTCTGATGAACCAAAATCATACAATTCGAAGTTGGTAACAATTTTATCACATTTACAACTGACATTTTCGATTCACTGGAAATATGAACTATATTTGCATACGCCTCAATGTTTGTGATGCTTGAATATTTGGGAATGTATTACTGCCAATTTATCGTCACAAATATTATGAATAATAAAATTGCCTTAAATCTAACCATCCAAGTTTAAAATAATAGATCAGAACAATATCACATTCGTTCTATTTTTCTATTTTTCCTACATTTTTGAACACGGTTAGTAGGGTGCTAATGCCGACTGAACGCCTCCCCCCACCCCTTTTGACCTTGAGACGTCACACGACCTTGAATGACGTCGCCTAACCTTGAACGTCGTACACGTAGTATGAGCTTGAATGCGGTGTTTGACCTTGAGTGTGACAACATTCAATGCCATGGAGCAAGTTCAAGGTAGTCGAAGTGTCGAACGTCAAGGTCAAACCCCACACTCAAGGTCAAACACCGCATTCAAGCTCATACAACGTGTACGACGTTCAAGGTTAGGTGACGTCATTCAAGGTCGTGTGACGTCTCAAGGTCAAAAGGGGTGGGGGGAGGCGTTCAGTCGGCATTAGCACCCTACTACGGTTCTACCTGCAATTGGTGTCTTTCTTTATTTGGCAATGAATAAGATTAACTTATCAAATTATATCTGTGAATTGGGCAAATGAAGCTATTTTTATCATTATCATTACAGTCGAAACATTTACCATTACCTACCCTACTCTAGTCGCTTCAGAGGGAGGAGACGATTCAGAAGACAATGATCAAGAACTATCTTCGGCAAGTCGTGTCATCATAGAAGTCCCCGAACTAGGCCACAGTTTTGATCTAGACGTAAAATCCAGCCCAGATATTCTGACTCCAGATTTCGTCGTACTAGAAACGTTCGCAAATAGATCTCAACCCATCACTGTTCAAAAAGAAGACAGAAACTGCTATTTTAGAGGAACTACAGCTGCGTTGAGTCTGTGCAAAGGAGTGGTGAGTAAAAATCATCCAGAAACTTCAAACAGTCAGTTTGAGTAGCTAACTTGCAAAGAGGAGCAAAGCAAAGTTCACTTTGCAAATTTGGAGCCGCTACTGTGACTAGTATTTCAAACTTTCAGCGAGGAATTGTACACCTGAACGACACAGATTTCTTCCTGATCCATCCACTGCCAAGTAGGTTCCACAATGAAACTGCCAATCCGCACATACTCATCCAGAAAAAACACCACGCAGTTCATACGGGGAACTGCCCTCATTATGACACTATACAGCTCAAGCAAAATACAACCAAAGACATTACATATGCCAAAGTTAACAATAAAATTCATGAAACTCATCTCGAATGGAGTTCCGATGAAGAAGAAGATATAGACAAGGACATCAATATCTCCAGCAGGTCTAAAAGGGATGTTCTGGAGGATTATTTGGATGATTTTTCGTACAGTAACTTGGGAAGGAAAAAAAGGGAATCTTTTCCTGATGGGGCACCAGCTTTCGTAGAAACAGCGGTTTTTGTGGATAAAGATCTCTTCGAGCATATGAAAACTAACTATCCAGTAGATACTGAGAGGGAACTTATTCGATTCGTTCTGGCTATGATAAATGCTGTAAGTAAAGCATTACTACCATTGTACTTTGAGTTACTACTTCTCAGATATATCGATCAGTATTACAATAATAATAACTTCAATCAAATAGTTAACAGAAACTGAATGTATTCATTATAATTACAATGGGGCGATTATTTTGAGTTTTTCATCCTTTTCATTTCAACATTTTCATGAATTCCTCTTCTAATAATCTCCCATACCTGTGAACGAACTTATGACCTTTTCCTAGCAAGTGTTCATAAGTGCTGAATTGGCCCTACAGTTTATGAAACTACTTATACAGGGTGTAACTAAATAAGTGTAAAACATTAGAGGAGGTGATTCCTCATCGAAAAAAGATATGATCTTTCATATAAAGAAATGTCATTGAAGCATCCCTTGTTAAGATACAGCCCCTTGAAGGGGGTATCGGAAATAAATTTTTAAATGGTAAACAAATAATGAGACAAAAAGTTACATTGGAAATAAATTTTAGGGGTTGCGTTTTCCACTTCTTACAACCATGGGGTAAACCAAATAAATTACTGGCTAAGTGTCTTTTTGGTAGTACAAAACGTCAGGTTACTTTCAATATTGTAACTTTTTCAGTGCTTGTGAAAAAAATTGTTATACAAATTTTATGTACCTCCTCTTAACAAGGGATGTTCCAATGAAGTTTCTTCATATGAAAGATCCTATATTTTTTCGATGAGGAATCACCTCCTTAAATGTTTTACATTTATTCAGTTACATCCTGTATGTTCTTTCGTTCTCTTGGAAAATGTTCTTCCCCCTTGACCTATATGGATCAATGACTTTTTGTCTTCAAATTATTACTATTTAGTCTTCAGTCAAGTACCAACTAAGTCCATTAACAATATCTGAATGGCTGTGTCACATTCGATAAAAAAGTTACGACGTGCCTTTGTTCCTTTATTGCATTGTTTCTGTTGCACGACTCTATTTTTTCTTATTAGTCAATGGGCTATGCTTGAAGACTGGCAGTAAACAAATCTAAAGCAAATACGACTCTATTTTCTTCAAGAGTCTCTCAATAAACAGTATCCAGTGAATAGCCCTATGAATATTCTGAACCAATTTCTCCTCTGCTGAAACAGGTTTTCAATTCTTCGTAACAACGGTCCCTATACGAAGATTTCCTCATTTATTTTCCTACGTGTATTTCTCCAGTACTCTTTATGTTTCTCATTGATATATTTCTTGAGCTGTTTTTCTATCATAGATTTTCATATCGCCCTACCTGTTTCGGACTCATATGGAGTTGATGACCAGTGCCTTGTACATTCCTGACTGGAGGTCAAGACTTCGACCTTGAGAGTTGTTCCCATTGAAAGTTACGCTCTTCTAGTGCAAGATGTTCTACTTGTTGAAGGCACTATATTCCTTAGTTTGGTGAACAATGTTTTTATTATTCTTACAGCCTTCACCCTCAAGTTCATCTTTCCACACCAACCTTCAATGTGTGTGGTACTAGCACTTCAATCCTTTCTGCAGAGTGAAATCCATTCAATACTCCTCAAATTTGCATTTGATTCTCCTTCCTTCTGTAACAAGCCTCACGAGTCGAACTAAATATAACAATTTTTCTTCTACAAAAAAGACTCAATCGCATTTTTCCAGGTTCAACTCTTGTATCACGACCCCAGCCTAGGAAGGCCGGTCAACTTCGTGCTGAAGAGGTTAGAAATCTTGAAAGAGGAGGTGGCAGGCTTGCTCAGACCTCCCGATATTGACAGATTTCTGTCAAATTTTTGCAACTGGCAGAAAACTAAAAATCCTCCCGGAGATAGTCAACCCTTGCACTGGGACCATGCTCTCATCTTGACCGGATTGGATTTGTACGTTCGGGGAAAGCATGGAAAGATTTCGAATCAAGTGGTTGGTGAGTATTTATCAGTAGTTGGAAAAAGCTTTTGAAGAGAAAGGAAAACCCAGGGTTGCTTTTCTGATACGGTGTTTCCAAAAAATATGCATTCTGTTGGTAATGTTTTTTGACAAGAATTCAATTCAAATGCCTGTTGCAGGTTTGGCTCCTGTGGCTGGCATGTGCACCACCACCAGCAGTTGTACAGTCAACGAAGGAAGACATTTCGAAAGCGTATATGTAGTAGCTCACGAAATTGGACATAGGTAAGACTAAAATTTTATAATTCTTTCATTTAATAACGTACCTACTTGTTTCAAAAATTATCATCAATTTCCAATACATTCATATCTGTTTATATATCATTCCAAAATGTACGACTTGAATAGCCCTATCGTGAATCCGTGAGGAACACTTTTCTTCATGTCAGAGTAGGAATAAATGTTGTTTAAGTTTTCAATATGTATCATTCCAGATGAATATTTTGCTCGATTTTATCGAATACTTATTGTTGCAGTTTGGGTATGAGACACGATGGTCCATTAGCAGAAAATGATTGTGACCCAAGCAGCTATATTATGTCACCGACGCTGGGCAGTGGAAAAAATACTTGGTCCTCTTGCAGCAAGAGATATTTGCAGAAATTCTTGGAGTAAGTGCAAAACTTAGGATAAGTTTTGTTGGTTTTAGGCCAGAGCTATTGATAGGCATGGTACTTCCCTATTGGTAGGCATAGACACGAACAAAGACATCATTTGTGGGATCGATAGAAAAGTCTTGCTTATCCTAAATAAACAGGTGTCTTTTACGGTAGTTCGATACAAAGGCAAACTTCTACAACGAAAGCCGGAAGAGAAATCGTTGTATATTTCTTTGCAGCCTTCTCTGCAAGATAATTAGATCAAAATAGACCCCGAAAGCAAAGAATTCGATACCATACAGTACTATTTCAACCTGCCATAGGTCTCATCGGTTGTACTATGGTGAATCACAAATACTCCGTCAATGGAATTGGCAGGTAATATAAATCGTGCTTAATCAAGGTGAACAAGTTTCTGTTGCACTACTAACCTCATCGAGAAAATCATCCGATTCCTCGACAATAAAGAGACGGTAGTGGCCGTATTTCATCAGCCTTTGCTGAAAAAACTGTAGATTTACAATCTATGTTATGATCGTAAACAGAATATCATCTACGACTATTTCAATGAGACCATTAGGTTCAGAGGCAATAATGACTCCTAATGCATAGCCTTCTCGATGTTCTTGACGGAAGAGAAGTAGATTTTCAAGCTAATGTAGATGCCCTTGTCATCGTGGCAAGGATCACTTCGAAAAGGATAAAGAATTATGGATGAGATTCCCAATTTGTGCTAGAAGGAGCAGATATTTATGAATCCAATCAAAACTGTGGTCATCTCCTTTTCCTGGAAGAGGAATCTCGGTAATTCCACCCCTCTTTCTTTCAATGGTGAGGATATTCCATTTGTCACGGAGGTGAATATAAATATCAAGAGCAATTTCTGCCTTGATTTATCATGTGCAAATGTTGAATTCTGCTATTTGTTAGGTTAGGTTAGTATCTCTTGTACTGATTAACCTTTCAATAAAAGCATTTATCATTACTATTATCATTATCCTTGATAAAACCTGGAATTCTCTGAATCACATATAGCGGTTTTTGTAGAACCTTATAGTGAAATTTCACACTAAATTGTATCATCAGTTAACTATTTTCATCAACAAATAATTAATTATTGCATCCTCTACACTACATTTTTGCCGCCCTCCTCAGTTATTTTTCTCTCTCAATTTTGGCTACTTGATGTTCCAGTACTCCCCAATCCAGATGTCTGCTGGACCATGGAAGTTCAGCTGGTAAACTGGACCACAGCGCTGAGGGAGCTTTACCAGGAGAACGGTTCGATGCAAATCAACAATGTAAGTAAAAATAAAAGTTCATTTCTATCATTTATTAGTGAAAGACACCCTAATTTACCAATTCAAATTTGTATTGCATCTGACACTTTCATACAGGCATGCTTAAATATGGAAGAGGCAGCAGGCATTCTTCTCAACAACCTTTAAATGACGTGTGCAGGGACTTGCACTGTGAAAGAGAAAGATATACATGGACTTCTCACCCTGCCCTGGAAGGAACCACGTGCGGTAATAACATGGTAAATATCGCCCATTATTATCAACTATTCATTTCACTTTCAAGATAAGATGACGAATCCCACTTCTGAAACAAAATTATTGTAAAAAATCCCACTTCTGATTCTGATGATTTAAATTTTTCTAGTGGTGTAGGGGCGGAAGATGTGTGGTGAAAGGTCTAGCCTTAACGGCAGCGTACGCTTCTCAGCAGACAGCCGCTCGATTGGGGCAAATCAACGGAGGATGGAGTCAATGGAAGCATTTCTCTGAATGCGCTTCTGGGTGTCTATTTGGCGAAGAGGGGCGACTCAGATCAGGCAGTACCGGAATCATGGTGTCTGAGCGGATGTGCAACAATCCTCGGTGAGTGAAGTGGCATTGAAGTTATAAATGAATCCTAAAATTCCCGAAAATATTTCACGAAATGCTCAATAGAGAAAAAATATGTTTTGTGTCAGTAGAATCGCAACTGCTTTGTAGTAAAGGATAAAAAGGACTCAAGTTTCCAGTGGCGACTCGTCAGAGAAGGCAAGGGAGGCTTAGCCTCCCCATAAAATTTGAGGCTATTCATCGCAATAAATTAAAAGAAATTGGGAAATAATTATGATTATTTTTTTTCTGAAAAAATGCACGAGTCGTCACTGCTAGTTTCTGAAAATGAAGTAATAAAAAAGTTAGACATAAGTTGTTGATTGTAAGAACATTTGAATATTCAACAGTAGTGGAGCAAGAAAATAATTACTTTCAGAAGTAAAGGTATTCCAACTACCAAACATGACAAAAGATGGGACTGAGTAAAACTTCAGTTGATCAGGCCCGACGGATCTGTGAATCCGTGGGTCTTCCCGAAGAACACAATTATTTGAAAACTGCATTCGAAGGGACGGGGTCTAGCGAAGCTGATTTTGAGCAGGTAATACGACCCAAAAATGTTAATAGACATATTGGACAGCTTTCTTGCTCGATGTGAAGAATATTACGGAGAGGATCGGGAAAGTTCATGAAAAATACCATGTGGAATCGATATTCAGGCTAACAGATATCATCAGAGAGGATCCAAGGTCATTTCATGACTTCGGAGGTCTTTTATCAACAGCGGGGCATTACCGGGTCCCTCGTAGCTGTGGTTCTATCTACATTGTAACCATGGATCTCTGAACACAAGAGAATAGTCACCGATGAATTAGCAGTAGCCACGTTATTGCGTTTGGAAATACCAAAGTGATTGATAAACATTTATGCCCAAAAGGAAGAGGAGATTAATATTAATAACAGACACGTCCACTGCCGATGGATTAAAATCGGGGAACCAACCCACTTTTGGACCATTTGCTTTGAAGATAACCAGAACTTACACTCTTTGACCTGAAAACTGCCACAAATTTCATAAAATATTGTATAAATAAATCACTTTATTTGCTGTGCAACATTTATATAATTGATTTAAATATTTTAGCCCCCAAGGTGCAGGTACAGACTGCGACGGACCATCCACAAGGTACTCGACCTGCACTGCCCAACAGTGTTCCAATGTTCCTCGGTTGACCATTCGCGAGTTTGCTGATCAAATTTGCAGCAGAGTCAAGGACGTGGATAAGGACTTAACAGGATTGGGAATGCAAAAAATCAGCTCAGACGGTGAGAATATGTAATATTTGAAGTCAGATAAAATTTAAGTGGAAGAATAATAGACTCCTGGTGGGGTTAACTTCTTGTTTCCGGGTAGCATATAGTTTTTTTGAAAATCTCAAAAATGATGACGATTACCATTATTGAAATGATGAAGTTTTCAATCTAGTTTTGAATATTATGGGGATCTGCAAATGTTCTTTCATTTTAGCCGAAGAAGCATGCTTGGTTTGGTGCCAAAAACGCAACGGAAGTACCAAAAGCAGAGGATGGACTTTTCCAGATGGAACAGCTTGTCAAATCCGTAGAAATCGTTATGGAATAGCAAGTTACTGCATCAAAGGTAAACATTGAATAAAAAATGGTTCACCTTCAAGTTTTTCGATTCTTATTATCATTAGTCAAGCTGAAGAAAGCTCTTAATTTAGAGTAAATGACTACGTTAGCTGCGACACAGCTTTCCTAGTAGTGACAGATGACACATGACAATAATAAATAAGTTTCTTTGTCAGAAGAATAGCTTTTGATGATAGAACGTGTGTGAATGAAAAAATGAACTTCTATGTTCATTTGTGTACTGCAATATTTATGTTTTGTTTTCTTTCATTTCTCTCATGGTTCAAATTTTGATTATGATTATAGCATTCTAAATTTTTCATGGGATAGTAAAGCAACTGAATTGCTACTCAATTGTATCTTTTATTTGTAGCAATAATGAATTATAAGAAAGGAATCTATTGATACCTGTTTTGAAATTCTAACTTCCATAACTGTTGAAAGTATAATTTGTTCTATAGACATTTTGTCTAAAGAACATATTTGAATTTCGGGCAAGAAATATTTACTTCTATGTAAGTTATTACATAGTACATGTCATTGAAGTGTATTCAACTACGACTAATTTTCCATGATTTTTTCATCAAAAAACAACGACAGTATGTATTCGGAATTATTTTAGGTAGGTTTGCACAATTATTTCTCATTACAGGACGATGCGAAGAATTCATCTGCGACTCCTTAGAAGAGGCAGCGTTCGCTCAGTCCCCAGACCTGTGCCCCGTCGACAAAAGCGACAACGAGCTCAGCTGGAGAACAGGTTTGAAAGGGAGAGAGGGTGCCATCCGATGGAAAAGCGCCAGTGGGTGTCACTACAACTGCGTCTCGCCGGGATCTGGAATACGATTGGTGATGAGCAAGAAGCATGGCAGGTCCAGCATTCAGTTGTGTCAGCCGGACAAATTCGTAAGTGAAAGACTTTGAAAATCACTATAGGCGTCCAGTTTCTCTATTTCAATGAAGAAAATATTAGCAAGACAAAAAACTGATACATACTTTTATACTTGAAACATTTCGTACTTTCATTTGCTCTTGCTTTGTCTAGCAATTAGAAACAAAATATATTATTTATTGAATACAAAAGTGGAAGAGAAAATTGAAACACTTTACTATGAAGAGCGTTATAATTGACATAATCACATTTACAAATCTTCTGTGGTGTTTCTAAAGGTTCTATATGTAGCCCTTTCTCTTCCGCTTTCAAATCATAGGTACATCTTTTACCGAATAGTCGATTTAAAATGATGGCAATACAAGAAGTTGGCAAGTTTGCTGTAGGTTATCCAATTTTTTTAGGGATGCAGCCGTGTTAAATCGCCTTACCAGCACGCTTCTATGGTATGCACAAAATATAAAGAGAGAGTGAGACGTCTTTCTGGGCTAGGGATGCAGATATCGCCAGCTGTTGGTAAGACATTGTACTACCGCTGTATTATATTTTTGATGGCAAATAAAACCATATGGTATGGTTTCCAAAACCATCGGGTTCCATCCATTTTTCGGTTTCAACAGTAAAGTTATACACATGAATCTATGATTTTGATGAAACTGTCATTTCATTATAAGGCTTGGACTTTGCCATCGAATGTGAAATACAATGACATTTAAACACGACCGCCTCTAGGTTGGTTGCAGCAGTCAATCCTTTTGAGGTAGTTTCGACCAATTTTTCGCACATTTCGGGAGGTATCTCGTGTACACTTTGACGAATGGTTTTCAAAACCTTCAACTTCAGGGAATTATCCGCGTAGAAACAGTCTTTGACGTAGTCCAACAAAAATAGTTTAATGGAGTCAACTCAATTGATCGTGGTGGCCAAAAGATGTCGCCAAAACGTGCCAAAATCGGCTGCGTTATATGGTTCGTTTCACCGCCTTGTCGAAACCATATATGGTCCAGTTCATAATCTTCAATTGCAGGCCAAAAAATGTCGATCATCATACGTCCATAGCCCTCTGAATTGACGGTAACGGTTCTCCCAGCGTCATTTTTGTAAAAACTAGGCCCAATGACACCTCCAGACCATCATAATGTGCACCAGTAACTTTTTCCAGATGCAATGGCTTTTCTAGAATCACTTTTGGATTCATCGAGCCCTATATAGGACAATTTTGCTTGTTAACGTAACCACCAAGTGAGAAATGAACTTCATCGCTGAAGAAAATTTTGTTCGAAAAATCACCATTGAAACCCTATTGCTACAGCACCAAATCAGCATATCTACGTCGTTGTGAATGGTCAGCTGGCTTCAATTGTTACATGGGTTGGACTTCAATCGGACGGAGGTGCAAATCCAATTGCAAAATATGCCATAATGAGTCGTAAGACGAGACCAATTGCTGGGAACGCCGTGGAATCGACAAGTTCGGATTATCCGTCACACTTTCAGTAACAGAAGCGATAGCTTCGCCAGTGCGCACATTCCGATGATGCACAGGCCTAACCACATATACAACGCTTCCAGTCTCTTCAAGTTCCTTTATGATCATGCCAATTCCTTGCACAGTAGGTCGATTATGACGATCATAATCACCCCGTGATGCTAGAAATGTGACCACGTTGAACTACCACATGTGTAGTAAGTTTTAACTTTTTTCACAAGTTCTTCGGTTAAATGGGAACGACAGGTGGCGGATACGGGAACGATCAGGGGACTGGGGGCCCTGTCCGAAAAGCCAATGTGGTCTTACGGACGGGGTCGCCGGACCCCTGGTCAGTGGCAGAAATAAGTAGGGTGAGGGGAACTAAAACGTCCCAAAAGCCTTTGCAAAACATGTCACCGTGGACCAGGCTGCCCAAGTTAAGGTGTAAGGAATCGTGCCGACCGCTGAATGACCGCAGGGAGATATGCGGCCACGAACGATCCCCTTGGGGAACTGGGCGAAACCTCATTGCAATCAGCCTACCTCTGGTAATGCGGGGCTCTGCCAGAGGTGACCAACTCTACCCTTGCTACTCGTGGGAACACACATGAATGAAACAACAGAAAAAAAAACCAATCCCGAGGCTGGACAAAAGTGCTCACCTCAATCTAAGGCGGTGGCTGAGGATGAACAGAAATGTTCACCCCAATCTACCGCTTGGATTGAGGGTGGACATAGCAGATCACCTCCAACAGCAAGGGCACTATCTGTGGCGGGCGCCAAGAGCTCCGCCTTGAATAAAGGCATGGAACCGGCTGTCTCTGCAGGAAAGCTCCCTCACTTGTGCACCTCCACGGAGGGAACCCCAAGAAGGTTGAAGAAGCCGTGCAACGACAGTAATATCGCTGCACCTTCCAAAACCTTCGCGGAGGCCGCTGTGAGACACCTCAAGGTTGCCAAAGAGAGTGTGTGTTCGGCGAGTCTTGGACTACATCTGCCACTATAAAAGAGATGTCTCCTAGTGACCTGTTCACCTTCCTGGACAGGATGGACGATGACCTAGGAGGACAACTCCTCGGGAGGATGTACAATGGGTCACATGTGGCTTAAGTGCTGTGAGTCTATACTCACCCTCTCTACTCTACAGATACCAGATAGATATTCGCCTGTTGTTCTCTGAGTACATGTGTTCAATGCATCCATTCAATTTTCCTCACAAAATATTAATGAGACGTAAAAGAGTTGTTGTTATGGAGAGAAAGAGGTTGGATGATGGATTGCAAGTTTGTATTCCTTAGTGACTTTGCTGAAGCATCCTGTCTTTTATTATGTCCACCTGTTTCCTTCATAATCAGCAATTACTTATTTTTCAGAGGATCCAGATAGACCTTGTCGAATAGCTTGCCAGGACGATTTCATTTCCCATAGGTTTTACCTAGTCAACGGAGAAGACGGATGGTTTCCATTTGGAACGGATTGCTCAAGAGGAACTTAGTTAAATCAATATATCGGGTTATCCATTTTTCGGTTTCAACAGTAAAATTAAATGGAACACACATGAATCTATGATTTTGATGAAACTGTCATTTCATTTTAATGCATGGACTTTGCCATTAAATGTGAAATACAATGACATTTAAACAAGACCGCCTCTAGGTTGGTTGCATCTATTGATCCTTCTGAGGTAGTTTTCGACCACTATTTCTCACATTTCGGGTACACCTCGCGAACACCTTGACGAATGTTGGTATTCAAAACCTCCAACTTCAGTGGATTATTCGCGTAGAAACAGTCTTCGACGAAGTCCAACAAAAAAATCTAAAGGAGTCAAATCAATTGATCGTGGTGGCCAATTGATGTCGTCAAAACGTGAAATCACGCGCTGTGGAAACCTCTCATGCAATTAAACCAAAATCGGCCGTGTTATGTGGTTCGTTTCACCACCTTGTGGAAACCATATATCGTCTAGTTCATAATCTTCTATTGCAGGCCAAAAAAGTCGATTATCATACGGCCATAGGGCTCTGAATTGACGGTAACGGTTCTTCCAGCATTATTTTTGTAAACTAGCCCCAATATCATCTCCAGACCATAATGCACATCAGTCACTTTTTCTGGATGCAATAGTTTTTCTACAATCACTTTTGGGTTCTTTGAGCCCCATATGTGACATTATCGCTTTTTGACGTAACCACCAAGTTAGAAATGAACTTCACCGCTGAATAAAATTGTGTTCGAAAGATCATCATTGAAAGCTTGTTGCTCGAACAACTAATCAGCATATCTACGGCGTTGTGAATGGTCAGTCGGCTTCAATTGTTGTGTGGGTTGGACTTTGACTGGATGGAGGTGCAAATCCAAATGCAAAATGCGTCATAATGAGCCGTAAGATAAACCCAACTGCTAAGAACGCCGTGGAATTGACAAGTTCGAATTATCCGTCACACTTTCACTAAAAGAAGCGATAGTTTCGCCAATGCACACATTCCGATGATGCACAGACCTTATCACATCTATAACGCTTCCAGTCTCTTTAAATTGCTTCATAATCCTGCTAATTCCTTGTATAGTACGTCGATTATGACGACCATAATCACCCCGTAATGCTCCAAACATGATCAAGTTTGAACCACCACATTTTTAGTAGGTTTTAACTTTTTTCACGAGTTCTTCAGTTGAACGAACCATATTCGTACATGGCAAACTTTTCACTGAATAAATTATGCATATAACCCGTTACTACAATCCAAATTCTACTATCCTTAATAGAATTCAGGTTGGTTCGTTCCATATCTCCTTTAGCCACTTCTTTTCGCAACCACACAATTTTTTCGGTTAGATATCTATCTGTTGTTCTCTAATTACATGTGTTCAATGCATCCATTCTACTTTCCTCACAAAATATTAATGATACCTAAGAGAGTTGTTGGTATGGAGAGAAATAAGTTAGATGATGGGTTGCAAGTTTGTATTCCTTGGTGACTTTATTGAAGCATCTTGTCTTTTATTATGTCCACCTGTTTCCTTCATAATCAGCAATCACCTATTTTTCAGAGGATCCAGATAGACCTTGTCGAATAGCTTGCCAGGACGATTTCATTTCCCATAGGTTTTACCTAGTCAACGGAGAAGACGGATGGTTTCCATTTGGAACGGATTGCTCAAGAGGAACTTCCGGGAAAAAAGCATATTGCGTTAGCGGAAAATGTTTGGTGAGTTAACTTAGCAAGGATCATCGATCTTTGTTCATGAAATTTTCATTATTTGCGTAGGAATTCGGTGCTGACGACACACCACTGTCTGAAAGTGAATTTACTCTTCCCCTACTGTCCAGATCTCGGAGGTCCTTGTACAATAACGGCTCAATTAGAATAATGACAAAACTGAATCAAATGGAGTTGGAGGATATCATCAGTGGCTTACACAGGACTTTGTCAGGTACCTAATCAAATTGATTTTCTGGATATCCATTTTTTATAACAAACCCACAGGAAGTATTCTACAGCTTGGTTCCCTTTGAAAATAAAATATTTAATAGGGATATAAATAAAAAATACAATTTTCTGTTAATCGGTAGTTTCCGTATTAGAAATCTTAATAACACAATCACTTTCAGCTTATGTGACAGTAAACACCAAACAAACGGCATAACGTCACTTGCTCACAAACATCATCTCTGTTGTTTGGTTATAACTTCATTTTATAATGAATTCCGTGCGATCTGTTCAAATATACTCTTTTCTCCCGTTGAAAACGATTTTAAAAAGTTTTCCCATGATGAAATATTTTGGGCTATACTATTCACATAGACGTGGTTTCAATCACTTTTTAAATGATTCCTATTGATTTTTCAGGAATAACTTCCAAAAGTACGATAAGCAATTATTGAACTCGGTTACTACTTACTACGCTATTCGAAGGCATCGATCATTGTGGAAACGCTCCCTAATGCCGAGTTTTTAGGTTAATCAACTAACAGTACTAACCTAGCACTTACAACTGCATTCTTTTGGATTGACCATAGAACCATCATGCTATTCAACAAGTAACTTTTGGTTTGATTGAAACAAATAGACGAATTCCTAAGCTCTCCAGAATATTTTTGATGGATTGCTTTGACCAGTAGAAACACGCTAACGTTTCGAATGGACTAATAATGAGTTCATCGAATCAGTCCATCAAACGAAAGAGTATTCCATATCTTTGTTGTCGAATATGTATGGTTTTGTTGTGAATTATTCCAAAAATGTATTTTTTCGAGGATGGCTACTCTGTGTATACGTCATACGAGTCAGTTGTCATTGTGATTGAATTTTTCTCACCGTTTTCTAAATGAAATGAATAAAATTCAAAAGTAGACAGTAAACATCAACTACATTTGACAGCTGACTGTATAATTACAAATACACATAGTAAGTGAACGATAAAATTGACAATCAATATCATCTACTTGAATGTCAGCTGATAGTAATGAAAATTATATAAAGTAGCCAACATGAAAAAGTATATGTGCTCCAAATGACATCGTCAGATATGGTTTAAAACGTTTATTATTGATAATCTCCTTCTCAATATTGAAATAGTCAAAAAACTCTTGTAATTGTTTTCATATTCTACTCTGAACAGTTTTTTATACACATGTCAATGTTCCCTTTCCTAACTTATAATAAATTTGTCCTTCTTTTGCAGGTAATCCGAGCTATCCGGTGAAATATGACATTGATTTGAACAATCCTATACATGTAAACATGGACATGGAGCAGCAAAATCACCCTCAAAGATACTTTAGAAGCGAAGACTACGTAAATTTCGCCTAACTTCGGAATATTTTCATATGTGATTATTCTTGTAGATTTTATATTTTGGTAGCCTATGGACGACATTTATAATAAACTTCTTTTACTTTTTGGTGATGTTTGTATTCATTCTTCTTTCTGAGTTGATAAATAATGAACGTATATTATTAAATTAGTACATTGACTGAAGTGTCTTGGTATCACCCAAAATTTGATTCGATCCGATAATCATCAAGTACATTCCATCGCCCAATACAAGATTGCCTTCAGCCCTGAAACGTTTGTCTCGTTGAGGGATACGCCTGGTCGTCTGTCTGCCTGAATTATTTATGTCCACAATAAATTCAAATCTCCCACCACGATGTTCCGAGATGCAGAAGCCTACGCTCTGATTAGCTGGCGAGCTTCGTGACAGTTTGAGGTCGCTACGTGACAATTTGGTACACTCTGATTGGTTCACCGCTAGGTAACAGAACACCACGTGACAATTTGGTGCACTCTGGTTGTCTAGGCGAGCTGAGAGGCTCGCCCAGACAACCAATTAGGGCTAGATCTATGATAAGCATATGAGCGATGGCATATCTCCTCACGTAGTCGCTATCTATGGGATCGAGAGAAAACTCTATCCTCAAAGACAAACGAGGATCGAGGTCTCTTACAAAGCCAAGCATCGTCCGCCGACCAGATTCGTCCCCAATCTAAATTTCACTCCATGACAACTACGCAAACATAGCGCATTTATGATCAAACACTAGAAAACGCTGTTTCAACCCTTCTAACAATGCTTTTAGCCCAGCTTCACTGATGAGACCTACTAAATCATGAATGATTTTTCAAGACTTTGGTTTCAACATATTATTCCATTCATTCTTAAAATATTGGCTTTGTATTACGTGGCTGGAAGCTACTAAGAAATCAATTCGCAAATTAAGTTGCCTGGACGATTCATTTTATGATGAACTATCATTGGGATTGACACATTACACATTTGTTTCCACCCGTCACCGACAATAGAGACAAGACTTTTACGTTGCTAGATGAATAGATACGGCCAACAATCACTTTCGTTTTTCAAGGTTATATTGAGCATCGAAGCCAATTCTACAATTTTCAAACGGTATCTAATATAAGCAAGAAGTAATTCTAAAAAATATTCTAATTCTACAGTTGTGACGTTGAAAAATGTTTAACAGTTATTAATATTGACAGTGTGTCAAGCAGTCAATTACATACCAACATTCCCTTCATCATGTCCGGACAGTCTTTGTTACTGAGGTCATTGAATCAAAAAAGAAAAAGAAGAAGAAGATAACCTTTTTTTTTTTTATGGGATTCCCTTGCTCTGGTATTAACTGTCAAATTTTTTGTATATTACCGAATCTACGTATTATTAAACAAGCAATTGAGTTCAATTTTCGATTTCGTGTTGAAGCATATTTGGTTCTCATCATTTAAAAACAAAACATGGGTGAGTTAAGTATATCCAATGTTGAATTTATGCACACTCCATTAGGAAGTGACAGTTGAGTTGAACTTCTCATTTTCCAATGGACACGTCAATGCGGAAAAATTTACAATTATTGAGTAACAAGTGATGAGTGAAACTTGGCTAACAAACCAACTTTCAACTTTCTTACTTCAATTGTATCATTTTTTTACCAGAAGGCATCCAGTCACTGGATGGCCTATTTCAGAACATTACAGTGGAAATAAGAGATAACCTAACCTAATTATTATCGAATTTCAAAAGATTGTAAGCAGTGATTCTCAAATAGTATCTTTAATCGCCGAAATGGAAATTGATATACAGTAGCCCATGTTACAATTGTTTCTTTTGATAATAATTCAAGTACTTGCATACTATTGAATTTTTGATGGAAATGCACGAATGCCATCGTTTTTTGGTAAAGAAAGTTTTTGCCCTTCTACTTCTCCATCTTGATACAAAAATGTGGGAATCTTCCACTTGCTAATTGAAATTCATTTATGCTAATTCTGTGTTCATAAATTCACTTCAATTGGCTTTTTTTAAGGAATTATGGAGTATCATAACACTCAAATTAAAATAAAAATGCATAATTCACATCTTGCTTTTATATATTATCCTACCGGACTACATTATTACATCAGATATTAATAGCCTGTTTCTTTCTAGAAAACGCAGCAGAGTACAGACGAAGCACTCTTATTAAGGCAGAGTCTTGGTTCAGTTGGTTGATAAGGATCATCAAGGAGTTTTTCTCATTCGGAAGAACTACAACCAAGACGGTCATCAACAAATTTGACAGCAAGATTTTCCAGGACGAATTAACTAACGTCAGTTCGGAGCAATTTTCTCGTGGTTTAGCCAGATTGGTCCTTAGAATCATATCCTTTGGTTTCATTAATTAGATATTATATTATTTGTCAAGATTGAATAAATACAGATGAAAAATTAGTAAAACTTGTTGATATCTGACCTGAATTGTTTTCATCACAGGTTTAGGTTTTCATTCTTTTTCAACATCTATTCTTATGGCACTACAAAAGTTTAATATACAGACGAGCAACAAAGAAGATACCATAAAATATAAAAGTTGAACTTGGCCCTTTGGCTTCAGCAATAATGAATATTGTTTGATAGATCCAGATATGTACTTCATCACAAATAGAAAATCCTATCATTTTCAAAAATGAAATATATGTAAACTTGGAAAGTATCTTTGTGTGATCAGCAGAATGGAATTGTACTATTATAACAAGTTATTCCAATATTTCGATAAAATTGATATCATCTTTAAGAAAAATCTACAAAAGTTATATAATAGTAATTTATTTTTGATTTACAAAATGGTAAAAAATTACTATTGGTGAGGATGGCCGTGTCAAAAAGTATGTCAAGTTTATACAAAGAATACATGTCAATATAATGAAACACTACATTAAAAAAGGTGAAATCCTTCACTAATGCAAAAGGATTCCTTGAAATTTTCCTGATAATAATTCGAATTTGTTTTAAATTATAATTAACCTGCAGAAACCATGTGCTAAGAACCAAAAAGAAATAGAAACATGGCACTTACATCTATCAAGGAATTTAGTTTGAGAACAAAGTTTGTTTCATTTGTCTACGTTGAAACTATGGAACAATTAGGAACATTGAAAGGGTTTAATTTTTAGAAGTGATTAATTTTTGGGAAAGAAAGTATTTGGCTTCCTACTACTCCATCCGGATTGGTACTGAAGAGCCCTAAGACAAGTGTCTTAAGGCGAAACATCAATGTCTACCAATGAGGATGACAGTGTTCCATGTAAGTGAAATTTTTACCTTTCATTTTAAATTGTGTAGAAATCCTGTGAATCATATCTGATTTAATCCCATAACGAATGTTTAGAATAGAAACTGAGTAGAAAAAAGTGTTTTTTGTATAATTCAGTGTTCACATGAAAATATTTGTCTCAAAATGATTTTCTTTCGTGTAATTTAATGTTTATATGAAAGTAGCTGTTTCAGGAAAACTTTTTCTTTCAGTTTGTGTCTGGAAGGTACCTCTTTGCATGATCTGCACATCTATGTGAAGAGTTACTACTTAAATTGATTGCTTTATTCCTTTCTTTGAAAGATTCCTACTTCTTTGTATCAATATGGAGTAGTAGAAAGCCAAAAACTTTCTTTCCCAAAAACTAGGAACAGTCCTGTTGCGAGTGTGATCAGAGACATCTGCTGTTAATGTAAGATAACAATGAGAACACATAGTGTGAACTGTATCAACTATAAATTTATTTGATGGAAATACACGATTATTACTTCTGTGGAGAGAAACTTATAATTTTCTTGAGGAAAATAATGATGATGAATGATATTTATCTGAAAATAACTCCCTATACAAAAGGGGGCAAAGAAAATTTATTTTATCAACAGTTTCACAGATTTCAAAAGTATTTCTACTTTGAAATTTGTCAATGTCAAGTGAAAATTCATAGGTTTCACTGAGGTGAATAATATCTGATCTTCTGTTAAGATATTCAAAAACAGTTGATTTTGGACTACCCTCGTAGAAGGACAAAATGTGTTGAAAATTTTTACCTATTCCACTGGACTACTCTCTCCCGATATTTATTGCCAAAAACTAATCAACACAGAATCGATTCGAGATAACAATCCATTGTGTTTTGTGGCGTGGGTGTAATTTTACAATTCTTGGAAAAAATAAATTCAATTTCCCAACACAATGAATAGATTTTCCTATAAATAATACTTGGGGAACGTTCACTTGTAGTCAAAACAAAAATGAAGGTTTTGCTGATAGTTGCCGTTGTTGTACTGGCTGCTGCTGCGGAGGACGTAGATGAGTCAAAATTGGTAAGAAAAATTTGTTCTGCTTTATTTTAGAAATGCTTACATTTCCATTTCGTAAGAAGAGAAACAGATCAGAGATTAGTTGTAGTGATATAGTCAATATCATCAATGATTAACAGGTATATGCGAGATCCTTGAGGCACTCCTGGTGATACTCCGAACTGTCTTAATACAGAATTTCACTTATGTTACAGTGCAATATTGATTTACATTGACTTCTACTGTATCTTATTGACTAATATGAACGCATATGTTTGGTATTATTTCCAATGAAGGATTGATCATTGCGATATGAACTTATTTATTACAATATTATCACAATGAAATTCCTACAAACAGTATAAAATATCTCTTCAATTCTTCTTCATATCCGACTTAGCAAACGCTTCCTCAATCTGGTGCAAAATATATTTGAGCTTTTGCGGGTCGACGTAGAAGTACATCCACAACTGCCTCCTGTAGTTCTGCCATTTGTTGGGAATCCTTTTCTGAAGTTGTGAGTATATGAGAAATAAACATAAAACAAGTTATACCTCTAAAACAACTTACCGCTGAAGAAGATATGTCGACGGCAGATTTTACAGAGGCTAACTGCCTCTTCAGCATTTCCTCTGCCTCACGAATAACCAAATTGAGATCGGAAGGCACCAGAACAACGCGATGTGTAGGACCGCAGACTAGAAATCGTTGCAGGATTTTTATGGACTCTTTTCTGAAAAAAAAACCTCCGTCAGCTTGCATTCTCAAAATTTCCAGGAGCAAAACCTTCAACTTACAAATCTGGAGCCGTAGACCTATAATGGTCGAAACTGAATGAAAACAGCCTGTTCTCCAACATGTCGATTTCTTTCTTAAGCTCGCAGATAACCTCAAAAGCTTTGGTGATTGTAAAGGTTTCCTCACTTGAAGATAGCATCTTAATGATGGACCTGATCAATGTAAACCTCTCCTCAGGGGAGTGACTGTTGTATTCTTGGATGATGCGATTTATCTTTCCCTAAAAATATTTAAAACAAATTATGAATGTTTTGGGGCTCCAGAGAAATCGACACTGAGTCTCTTATATTTTTCAGTGTATAAACCATGTATCTTCATGTTGTTTTTGCGATTTCCTTACCGTTCTTGATAAGCAGTTCTCTAGATCTTGACTTATGTAGTGTATGACTTTTCTGAAGAAATTATCCGAACAATCAATGTCTTTTTTCTCTTGGATGTAGAGTATGCTGAGCACAAGGTAATGGGACATCAGTTTCATTACGGAATGTTCAATTTTTGAAAGGTTGTTCAGTCTTGACCTGAAAGCAAATGGTTGACATGAGCTGACAAGATTCCTTACCAGGAAACGCACGGTACAAGGTAAGACCTGGTTTATCCCCAGTTGATGTCTCTCAAAGTACGTGACGCAGAGTACAATCACTGTATGCCACTGTCAACATTTCAAGTGTTTTTGAGCATACAATTCCATTTTTATACAAAATTTGATGCACATTCTTTGATTCAATTTTTTTGATAGCAGAAAATCGCCAGACCTTATACAATGAATGTATAATAATCGATTATTATTATTATAATACTGAGATATGAAAGAAGCTGCCTGAAAATCTTGAAATTTGGATTCAAATTTGCTTTTTTCTCAAGAGGTAATACAGAACAATGGACAAACAGTGAATTTACTTACTGGAATATCTCAAGTTCTTTTTCCACATACTTCTGCTGCGTTAAAGATATCTGCTGGTCTGCAAAATCGGTGGCAATTTTGTCCAGCATGCCGCACATCATCCTCCTCGATTCTTTTTTTGATTCGATGTTTTCTTGTAAGAATAAACTGAAAAATCAGTACGGCATGGAAATCAAAAAGATAGAGGTTGAAAAAGTTCTTTTTACCTGTCAGTGGGTGAAAGAAGAGATTCAACGGTCACCTTATCTAAATACCTACACATTTCCTTCAATTTTTCCACTTCGATTTTGGTCGCCAGGAATTTTTTGCGACTATGAAGGATCCTAAAAAAGAGATATAAGCACATACACTTTGACTTTAAAATTCACTTTGCGAGCTTTCTAACTAGTGCTACGTTACCTGTGCCTCATACTGTACAATTCTTGAGACACTGTCTCATTTATATTGGTAACTTCCAATGATGTGGCATTTGAAGCCACACTTAAGCTAACCGAGACCGGATGGTCATCTAGAACAGGCATCAGCATTGAAGTTATGTTCTCAACTTTGTCTTGGTATACTTTGATGTCCATATTGTTGATGAAATTCGGAATGGGACTCTGAGAAAATGTTGAATTTTAACCTGGAGACCTATTTCTGATTTGTTATCAATACTCACAAATTCAAAATCATGCAAATTCCTGCCATATTTTAATAGTTTCTCATGGATTTTTCCATTCAAGTCATCTAGTTTCTCACCAATAGCGAGACACTTTTCTTGGGTGTTTTTCAACTGCAAAGATGACTTGATTTCTAGGGATATGGTTTTATCCAATTCTTTTCGTAAATTATTATCTACCAGTCTATGAAATCAAATAGAATAGTTACTTTGGGAATATAGGTAAATGTTGTTATAGTTAGTGTTTTGACAAATAAGTAACAAACTTAATTGAAGTCTCTGTGATACTTTGAAATTTTCGATATTACTGTTAAAAATTGTCATGGTCCTCACTTTCAAACAGGCATTGACTTCTGAAGATTATAGTGAATGAGAGATGAGTATATTTGTTTTTGTGACTACTTGGAAGTCAACCTACGTGGGAAACCAATTAAAATAGAGATTTGATCAACAATCACTGCTAGAAAGTTGATTTAAAGTTGTTCTGTGGAGTACTTCTTACAAAATCAATTATTCATTGGATTGATCTTTGATTTTAGCTTAGTCAAATTACGAACGCAATAAACAGAACAAATCATTTTGCGAAAAAGAAAAAACACGAGTGTCATCAACAAAGATTTTTGGCAGTCTATTATGCCATGATTCATTCTCATATTTTACTTGATAGGTCTTGATTGTCAATATGGAATATAGAGATAACAACGAACTGATATTTATAACTATCAATGACAATAATTAAACAATTTTCACAAAAAAATGATTCTTTAAGCGTTTCGCTAACACAGTAGCTTATGACTGAACACCATTCAATCAGAGAACCCGAATGCGGCTAATAGATACAGCCAGTGAGTTAGTGAATAGATCACATTTCATTTTCTTGGAGCGCTGATAATCATTAGACAATATTTTCTCAACAGATTTGTGCACAGTAGAAGTAATTGTTGACAGGTTTCAAAACTAAGCACCTACCTATTTATCCTTATTATTTCATTCAAATTGTCTTCTTCCTCTTGCATCAATTCTATTTCATCTTGGAGATATTCAACTTCTAGTTCATTGGTATCGGGATCAAATATTCCTGGGTATCTGTCATTGATGATATCTCTTTCATACTCCTGTTTTTCCCGTGAAATCACAGAACTGAGATGTTTGTATCTGAAAAAAGACATCAGCTTTATTTGTGTGGACATTTCTCAGCAAGGCTCGTACAAGTAAAAGACTTACTCTCCATTTTCCAAGGGTGAAACGTAATTTTGTACTGAAAGAGATGTACACATCCAGTTCAACAAGTTCTTCATGTTTTTGTCATCGGTGTCGAACCAACCCATTACTACATTTCGATTGAGGTTCAGTAGTTGAACATCCAGGTCTTTGAAAACTTTTAATAGATCCTCTCCATTGAAATCAGACATTTCGAGAATACAAAGTTTTCAAATTGAATTCGTAGTTGAAAGTAACCTTACTTTTTTCAGAAAACGGCTACATTTGAATATAAAATGAGAGTGCCATCTCTTTAATATGAGACGAACTACGATAGAATTGAGCGTACCTATTGGTTTTACCTCTAAAAGGCATATTTTGTTTAACGATAGATGGCAATGATGTGTTTTCCCATTGAAAATATTTCTCCCACATCGCATAATAAACATTTACAATAATGACAAACAAAACAAAATACCATTTTGAAGAATGGAATTCCTGATGTTTGACTATGATCATTATTTATTTTAAATCTTATATAGGTAGACAGATCTTTTTTATTTTAAACATAATTCTAGTTGACCAGGGTCGGATCATATATAAAATTTTGGGGGACTTTTTTCAATCATGTAAATTGATTATCCACACTTTTTAACGAAATCTATATTAACTTGTACTGATGTTAGTAATATGAGATTCTACTTATCATAAATATTTGAATTGGTTTAATTATGCAAAGGTTACCCTGCATTCCGCTGGTATTCCAGATTTCAGTTTTCAATTTGCCCATTTGTTGAATATTATACTGATCATAATTTGTAAATTTGTTTTTTTCATTCAAACGTTAGAACCTGGTTTGATGATCTGGCATTCTCTATTGTTCATGATTCCATTATTCCTGTTACCTAAATAGTGTTTCTCTTTTCCACGATTTAGCTTCATTATCTTAACATTGTTTCATTTTTGTTATTTGTCTCCTTAATTTATTAATTGATTGGGTAATTCCAGGTCGAGAGTGACACTTCATCTTTTCAAATTATAACATATCGTTTTGTCAAAATCTGTTGTAAAAGGGAATATCATCGAGAAAAACTGAATTTAATCTTATTCATTTAAGGTTCCTCTGCCAGAAGAAATAGGAAAGCTTCTAACTGTTAAACAAGAATGTGCGAAAAAAATTGCTATTAGCGAGGAAACGCTGAAGAAATTGGAGACTGATGAATTTCCGGTAACAGATGAGACAGAAGCACAAGCCAGGTGCTTCTTAGAAGGTGAATATAAATTGAATAACTTTTTCTTGTATTTATGATGCTCTGTTTGGAACCTTTGATGTAGTAATGAATATTACTGGGGTTCTTTCCCAACACCAAATCGTTATTTTTGACACCTCGACACGTGTGTCGAATTTTAATCTTCCTCTTGAAGATGATCACTTGGTGATCGAAACACGTGCCGAGGTGTTGAAAATAACGATTTGGTGTTGGGAAATAACTCCAGTAATATTCATTTTCTTGTATTTCAACTTCACATCATTGAAACATTCAGAACATTTTTGGGATGAGTTGGCTCTAAACACATTTTGAACGTGGAAATCATATTAGTGATATCAGAAAAGAATTTGGGGCGGAAAAACTACTTCAATGCAGAAGATGGAACTTTCAAAAGGTTTTTTGATGAAGGCTAACGATTTTCAAATGACTATGTAACTATAAAATAATAAAAATAAAGTGTAGAGATTCCAAGTCACGTTAGTTCACGACGTTTCGATTGTTGGTATCTACAATCGTCTTCGGGTGATGACTGGGAATGGAAGTCCGAACTAGTGAAATTCATCACGAAACATTGTCAATCACCTTCAAACAAACCATAACCTTTCTATCCCAACTATATGATATCTTCTATACAAGGACAGCTCTGTATATTCTAGAGAACATTTCCAATTTCTCCACAGAAACTATTTTTTCGGCAACCGTGTAGAATAGCAAATCTGTGACACCCATTTCTTCATTATATTTCTTTGTAGGACGGAATTTTGAATATTTTGATTTTTATTAGTATTGAATATTGATATTTAAAGAAGGAAGGTGCCAAAGACACATTGTAATTATTATTTGTATTAATATTTATGTGAAAACTCGAGCAAATGCTAATATTGAAGGATTCAATTCGTTTTAAATGCTTATATTCAAATACCTTCTGTTAAAGTAAAACGAGAAGGCAAAGTTTCCGTTTCACATTGATTGTTTTCATCTGATAATTTCTGAATGATCTTAACAATTCAAGCTTTCTCTGTAAGTGAATTGTCTATATACCCTTCAGTAACATTGATAGACCCCCGTTCTTTCAAATTTGTGATGTTTCCACCATTATCGGCAAATCATGTCGCTGAAGTTCGACGGATGCCATGGCCTCGGCAATTTTAGGATTGGGTGAATTTTAAAATTTTGTGATTCTTAATTCGAAACTTCCAAAACTGTATGTACTTTCCGGATTAGGTCAGAAAAATGTTAATTTTGCAAAGAAGAAGCGTTCGTGAAGTGGGTACTGTGTGGGAAATGACTTTTTATTGAATATATTCTACATTTTACTTTCACGATTGTTTCTATTTTTTTCCAATTAACTGGTTTCAGTTCATGCAAAGTTCATCACTAGTTCAGAAATAATGTTCCTAACTGGACGTTTTCTCATTTCTTACAATTCTTATTCTGTTTGTTCTTTCTAGGAATCGGCATTTTGAATGACGAAGGCAAATTCGACAAAGAGGGATTTGTCCTGAGCTTGGAATCGTTAATTCCCGAAGACAAGATACAAGAAATCGTTGACAAATGCTACGATGAAGAAGGAACAGCTCTAGAGTTGAGTAAATGTGTAAAGCAAGAACTAGATGCGATAGCGTCAGGATGAGGAGATGTGCGATTAACTTAATTGTTATAACGAATGATACTTCATCAATAAAGTGGGTTTGATAATATTCATATATAGTGTTGATTTCATTCATCATTCATCACATACACACACTCTCTCTCTTTCTCAAATATCCATAAAACTAATTAGTTTGTTGGTGTATAATGACGATCTATCAGAAATAAAAACAAAACTGGTTTTTATATCAATTATGATTGTTACTGGAGTTTTTTCCCAACACCAAATCGTTATTTTCAACACCTCGACACGTGTTTCGATCACCAAAGAGGAAGATCTTCAAAGAGGAAGATTAAAACTGTTTAAATCTTCCTCTTTGAAGATGATCACTTGGTGATTGAAACACCTGTCGAGGTGTTAAAAATAACGATTTGGTGTTGGGAAAAAACTCCTTGTCTCCATACTTTAACTGTCATACTCATGTGATGTTGTGATATTTATGTTGCAGTTTTATTCATATACGACAAACTATGATGTCAACTGTGTATACAGGGTGTTCATTAAACATGCGGCAAAACATTAAAACCTATTCCTTGGACTGCCCTATCAAAAATCATCAAAGGACAAAATATCCTTAGATTAGCCCAAGGAATAGTCCCTTGAATTTTTGCCGCATGTTTAATAAACACCCTGTATATTATGTAGTACATTTGTTGATTTAGTGTACGTTGAGTAACGAAATGGTTAATAAAGATTGACTGATTGACTGGATTTCTGACAGATGAGCTCAATTCACAAGTAAAGAAATTTTTCAAAGAATCCAACCTAATTTAATATTGACGTCAGTTATAAAATCAAGAAGGGTGTTTTCTGCATAACAAATGTGAATGACGCGTTTCAATACTGTTTGAATATTTGTTTGTTTCAATTCCATCAATATTTCCCGAAAGTTCTGGAAAATATAAATAAAAACAATTAAAACAACTTTATTGCAAATGGATCGAAGGATTCATTGGAAAATCTGCATAAAGGAGCTACAAACCTTTGTAAAGAGTTGATCTAGAAGTTAATTGTTTTCTTCTTCCCTTTCTTTCTCAAAAACTAATCTCTCCTGAAAATATACCGATTTTTCAATTCACCATAGTCCTAAAATGTTTAACGATATAAACTAAAAAACTCGACAATAAGGTTGACAAGAAAGATGCAAATTTGTCTGGTCTGGACTTGATGTAATAATTATTTTCACATAATTGAACAAGTAATAGAAAGAGTGCTAAAAAACTCATTACTAGTTTTTTGATTATCTATATTCAGAGCCTCGATTTGACTACATAATAGAACTATCTGGTATTGGATTACGAATACTTTGTTTTGAATTCTGGTATTATTCACAAAACGATTTTTAAAAGTCATTTCCATACGTCTAACCTGGCAAAGATTTTTGTTTCGACGGGAATTTCCATTGGAAAAATTCACAGAAGAAACAATGAACAGTTGAAACGCATTAGTTACATAATTAATTACCGCATTTAGCCATGTGTGACTGCGGGATAAATCCTAATAAAGGTGACCATAGCATTGCGAATGTACAATTAATCTCCTCACCAAGGCATAAAGTGTTATTACCAATCATAGAATAATGAGTTCTAATGAAAGTAATTTGACATCATCCTGGTGTTTCAAATTACACCGAAATCTTTATTCATACGAGTATATAAGACTCGATTATCATTGTCGTATATAAGACAAGATCTATCATCTTGTTGATCGTTCAATTGTTCTGTTTGTCTTTACTGCAGCACTTTTAAGATGAATAAGGTCGCGATTGTTTTGTTTGTGGCTTTCGCTGCTGTTGCGATTTCAAAGGTGAGGTTTTATTTTTTATTATTTTTCCTGGCTTTCGAAAAAGCCTTAAATTATTCAATAAAATTGCGACTAGAAGATAAAGTTTGTCTGTGCTAGCATTTAATAATTTTATTCGTCGTTTCTTCAGAGTGAATACAAAAAACCATTCTTGTAACTCACTTGACACAATCCTCATTTACTATAGATGTTACAGTATTATTGCCTTACATGAAAAATCAAATCCAAAGTTGATTCTTAAAATAATAACAATAATGAAGTACATCAGGTTTATGAATACTGGAATTTGGGAAACTGATTTTGTGGACTCCCTGTATAAGATGATGATAGTTGAATATTTGGTGAGGTGTGCATGTAATTGAAACAAAAATTAAATTCTCTACTACTAAATGTTTTTAATAACTACTTGATTTTTGTTTGAAATAATTTTTTAAGGGCACTCAGTGATTTTTTTTTAATTTCTGAAAAACAAGATCAATAAAGTTGGATAAAGTTGGTTAATTCTTCAGTGTGTACCATATTGTCAATATACTAAGTGATTTCCTCGAGAATTAACCTTCATTCATTTCATTCAAGCCTTTGTCTGAAGAGGAACTCAAGAAACTCGTCGATTTGAATAGAGAATGTGCTAAGACGTCTGGTGTGGATGAGGATACTCTAAAGAAACTTGAGGGTGACATCGAATATCCAGAAACCGCTGAAATGAAGGTTCATGCCAAGTGCTTCATGAAAGGTGAGTATATTTTGAAGCGCAGTTAAAACCGAATTGAACTACTAAGATGAGATTTTGATGCGCTTTAAAAACCGAATTGTACCCGCCTCATTGATCACACAAACTACTGACAATGCGAAAGTGGTCGGAGTTTCTTAGCACCGAACGATTTTACGTTTCTACGCTTACTCATTTCAGTTGGCGTTGACTTTATTCAAATTATAGATAAATAAGTGGATAGCCGTTCATTTACAATTTTTATAATGGAGGGGGGTCTCAGAAGTACCCGTCTTAACAAAGGAAACACTAACATTAATTGCCGGTGACATCACTTCTTCATCGTTGGAAAATCTTTCACCACAGAGCCAATTTTTCAAATTTGGAAACAGAAAACTATCCAAGGGGCCTAAATTTGGCGAATGAGCATGAGGTAGCCATTCAAACTTTAATTCGTTGATTTTGGTCGTTATGATAATGAATTTGTGAGCTGGTGCATTGTCTTGATAACGCAGCCAAATGCGGCCGTTTTTGCTTGATTTCTTCACTCAAACGTTGTAATACGTTCTTATAATACTCGCCGTTGAGAATTTTAACTTTTTTGAGATAATCAATGAAAATTATCTCACGCGCATCCCAAAAAATCGAGGCCATGACCTTAATTGCAGATGAAACGGTTATTGCCTTCTTTGGAGCCGGTTTTCCCTTTTGATTCCACTGTTTTCATTGTTCTTTTGTCTCGGGTGTAAAGTGATGGACCCATGTTCCATCCTAGGTTATGAAACTAAGCAAGAATTCTGCTTTGTTGCTATGAAGTTTCGCTAAAATCTCAATTGAAACATCTTTACGACAATTTTTCGCTTGGTTGTGAGCAAACGCAGCCCCTATCTTGCTCACAGCTTTGTAATGTTCAAAATTTCATATAATATACGATCTGTATCTGTATTTGTAGAGTAGGAAGGGTGAGTGTTGACCCACGGAACTTAGGCCACATGTGACCCATTGTACATGCTCCCGAAGAGTTGTCCTCCTAGGTCATCGTCCATCCTGTCCTTTCCAGGAAGGTGGACAGGTCACGAGGAGATATCTTCTTTATATCGGCAGGTGTAGGCCAAGACTCGCCGAAAACACACTCTCTTTGGCGAAGGTTTTGGAAGGTGCAGCGACATTACTGTCGTTGCGCGGCTTCTTTAACTCTCTTGGGGTTCCCTCCATGGAGGTGCACAAGTGAGGGAGCTTTCCTGCAGGGGCAGCCGGTCTCTTGCCTTCATTCAAGCCGGAGCACTTGTCGCCCGCCGCAAGAAGTGCCCTTGCTGTTGGAGGTGGAGTGGAGGAGGAGAAGGGTGCACTTATAGTTGCTGCCACTCCTGCCTTCTTCACTCTCTTTCTCCTTTTGGCCTCGGCGCCGCAAATGCGCTTACGCCTTGGCCTTTGTATTGCATCACGAGGTGAACTGCTATGTCCAGCATCATTCCAAGCGGAAGATTGGGGTGGACATTTCTGTTCATCCCCAGCCACCGCCTTAGATTGAGGTGAGCACTTCCATCCAGCCTCAAGATTGGTTTTTGTTTTTATTGTTTCTGTTTTTGTGTTTGTTTCATTCATGTGTGTTCCCCTGAGTAGCAAGGAAAGAATAGGTCACCTCTGGCAGAGCCCCGTATTACCAGAGGTTGGCTGATTACAATTATGTTTCGCCCAGGTCCTCATGGGGATCGTTCGTAATCTTATATCACCCTGTGGCCATTCAGCTGTCGGCATGATTCCTCACACTTTAGCTTGGGTAGGCTGGTCCACGGTGGCATTTCTGCCACTGACCAGGAGTCCGGCGACCCCGTCCGTAAGGACACATTGGCTTCCCGGACAGGACCTCCAGTCCCCTGGCCGTTCCCTTATCCGCCACCTGGGGACGCGTCCGATAGGTAGCCCAATCCACGGGATAATATACGATGTAATGCACCTTTTCAAAAGCCTACTAAGTTTGACAGCTCGTGCACTTTTAGTAGACGATCATTCAGTATCGCTTTCTTGACCGTTTCTGGAGGCGTCACCTCATTTGGTCTACCACTGCGATGCTCGTACTGTTGTAAACGAAGGAGCAGACTAACCCAGAGTGAAGTCAAGTTCAGATTTTATATTGGTTGGGCTGAGGCCTTTCAACTAAAAGTATTGTATCACAAACGATGACCAATTGTCTCAATTTCCACAAATTCTCCAAAAACGTTCGCTATTGATGGCTGCCAAATGAATACTAAACAACGCAGCGTCTTCAAACTTGAAATGTATGCTTTATAGATTGTGTTCTTACTAATACAGTGATGTTTTTCAAACTAGCGCCATCTCTAGGTAAGTCCGGGTATTTATGTGACCATCCTAGTACAATAAATTACTAATACAGAGAGTCTGTGTATTGATAAGATATGGAAATGAAAAATAAGGTGGAAATGTTCGACACTGAGGATTTCCAATATTCAAATCACATTTAAATGTCATGTGGCTTGTAGATTTGAAGTGAGGCACTGAAAAATTGATTCAAGGCAACGAATCTTTTCATCTTGCCTTCAATCATATCGTAGACAAAATGTGATGCGTGGAAACAGTCTTCGTTCCTTCAGACATATACAGGATTAATTTATCGAAAGAAAGTGTGTTGAAAAAATTGTTTTTATACAACCATATTGAAAATACAGTTCTTAATCATCGTTACAGGTTTGGGTGTTATGGATGACGATGGCAATATCGACGTAGAAGCAATGACAGAAAGCTTGAAAAAGATAGTTCCTGAAGGTAAAGAAAAGGAGGTCGCCGAAAAATGCAACGTTGTAAAAGACAGCCCCGAGGAAACTGCTTTTGAACTGGGAAGGTGTGTTCATGGAGAAATTCATGATCACTGAGTATAACGGGCATACTTCGAGGATTGACTCAATGTTGACGATTGAAAGAGGCTAGTGGTTGTATACAATTCACTAAAATGATTAAATAAATGTTATTGTTCATGTCGTTGTTTTATTTGTTGAAGCAGTTACAACAACAGCATCCTATGGAATATTTAGAACGTATGTCCATAAAATGTTTTTTTTTTCAAGATTGATCCACGTATATCCCCTTCAAATTGATAGAAACATGGTGTAAGGAACACTCACTGTCGATCAATCCCAAGAAGAATGAGATGGTCGTTTTCACAAGGACAAGAAGTTTATCGGGTTTAAAACCTCCCGAAATCTTCAAAAGTAAAGTAAACTTCTCTGAAGAGGTAAAATACCTCGGTACTATCCTCGACAGGAAGCTAACATGGAACTATCACCTACAGAGTAGAGCAAAAAGTGCATATGTGGCTTATGAGCAATGTGGGAGGACAGTGGGACGCACATGGAGTCTTCCACGCCGTGTGGTCACCTGGATCTACAATGTAATAATAAGATCTATGTTGATGTACGGAGCCGTTGCATGGGGACCAAAAGTTCTACAAGCAACGGCCGTCCAAAAATTATATCAAATACAGCGACTGGCGACTGCGGCAATGGAATTAATTACGGGTCTGACCCCTCTGGACCTGTACGTCAAGGAGGTTGCGTTAATGGCCATGGTACGATTGCGCATGGCTGGTGTTAACCTCGAAGTAGGTATGGATCAATTGAGGCTGGGCCTATGGTGGGAAGCGCTTATTGCGCAACCTCTGCTGCAGGCAACCAGTGATGCAATTGAACCCAGGTTTGTGTTTAATAAACCCTACAAAATACAAATAAAACAGAACACTGAGTCAGATGCTACAAATGCAATACGCATATATACAGACGGCTCAAAAACCAAAGAAGGCTCAGGATGTGGAGTGTACTCCAGATCACTAAGCCTAAGGATTAAGTGGGGAATGGGAAAAAATACCAGCGTGGTCCAAATAGAACTGGCTGGTATCTCAATCGCCACAAAAGAAATTTCTGGCAAAAACATAACAATCTGCACTGATAGCAGATAAGCCCTATTAGCCTTGAATAGACAATATGTAACCTCAGGGCTAGTACTAAAGTGTCACCAAGATTCAGCCAAAGCCTCGGTAGATAATAACATTGTCCTGAGGTGGGTTGAAGGGCACGGCAGGAGTGAAGGTAATCGCATTGCCGACTCTTTAGCCAAGGAAGCCGCTGGACTAAAAATTTCAGGACTCAATGGCACCTACGGCCTGATGACTTCGACAATTGCGAAACTGGCCAAATGCCCTAAAGAGATGGGATGGAATCAAAGGATGCAATTATGCCAGGATCACCTTGGGCGACCCTGGAAAGCGGGCGCTCACGAAATATCTGTCGATCAGGAGAAATCTACGCTCAACAGTAGGATTTCTGAATGACCATTGTCAACTAAGGAAACACCTCCATAATATGGGGCTAGTGGACACACCTCTATGCAGGATGTGTGAACAGGAAGATAAAACCGTCAGGCATGTCCTATGCGAGTGCCAGGAGTTATCGTCAATAAGAGAGTGTGTGTTCGGCGAGTCTACACCTGCTGAGATAAAGGAGATGTCTCTCAATGACCTGTCCACCTTCCTGGAAAGGACAGGATGGACTATGACCCAGGAGGACAACTCCTCGGGAGGATGTACAATAGGTGACATGTGGCCTAAGTGCTGTGGGCTTACAAGCACCCTCCCTAGTCTACGGATACAGAACCCCTTCAAATATCATTTGAGAATGTCCTCCATATTATTAATTAGGTTATTTCAAAAGTTTTGGCCGTTTTTAAATTTCACTTTCAGCTCCTCATCAGTAGCTCCTCTTTCAATGTCACATTTTCGACAGGTTTTACTGAATATGGAATTTACAAGTTTTTACATGCAATAGTCTCTACATTCATTGAAGTCAAGCCAACATTTCAGTTCTTCACTATCGAAACCAGATAAATTTTCATGGACCCCGCTTAGGAATTGTGAAACCCCACTTTTTCGTCACACCAACCTAGACTGATTTAAATGATCGACATGAACTGTCACGATTCGAGATCTATTTTTCTTTGCTTTTGTATTCAGGACAGTGGTTGGACACCGATGAGCCACCCAAGCTAGCCAAACTATCACAGCAAAGTCCTATTGTGAGGAGCAGATCAATCCTGGTCAACAACAACGCTCGTCTCCACGTTTCACAAATCACCGTCCAAAAATTGAAAATTGAAGTTCTACCACACTCGGTACTCCCAGTACTAACTGGCACTATGATGATTAGCTCTGATTATCCAATTAATGATACAATAACAATTCCAATAACAAGTTCATTGGAAATACAGATTCATCTTTCATACTACCTTGGTTCTCGTACAGATGTCAATTGAATAATGACTAATCATCATATCTTATATTAAAATGCGGTTGTGATAGAGAATAATTATTCTGATTCTTTGATTCTATTTCTAGTCAGCAGTTCAAAGAATCGTGTTTTATATATCTATTCTAAATCTGAAACTCCATAATCATGCATAGTCATGCAAGGGTTGAATTGGTCTTCTCAATCTATAAACTATTCTAATGCTCTTTCATTCTTTTTGTAAAAGTTCACCTCGTTTGTCCAAAATAAAAGTTGAGACAAAACCACGAGTCACCTTATTTGAGGTGTTTCTCAAGTACGGTCATTGATTTTTTTATAATATTCATAAAAAAGTTAAAACATTTTTATTTCAGAAGTGTTAAAAGACAGTAAAAATGTATATTGCTGAAGATATCCGTAAAACTTTTGAAAACAGGAACTACATATTACGAAAATACAATGTGGAATTTGTTCATTCTGAATAATTAAGAAAGCCTTCAAAGTCTCTCCTCGATGTGAAGACTTTATGCAGGGACTCGGACTGTCGGAAGACAGTCATACACTTTGTGCCTGCCCCGCTGGGGACCGAATCAGGTTTTTAGAGTTCGGAAGAGCCGTATTCTCACCATCTCTCCTGAAAGACCACTCATCATACAAACTAATCGGCTTCGTTAAGGAGGTGGGTTTATTTGGTCGACTGGGAATAGGTGTGAGCCACAATAAACCCTTCCGGGTTGCGGCGGAGGGTCGAATAGACTCACTCACTTTAGACCTAACCTAACCTAACCTAACCTAACCGTCAAAGTCACACTGAGAGTCATGACTGAATTATTTGAGTTATATGTACTATCTAAGATTGTAGATAATTTCGTTGGTCAATCAGAATCCACGATGAAGAGTACACATTGTAGACATTCATCTGTAACCTTCGATCCTCTCTGGAATTTGTCACTCCCCATACCACAAAGAACTGGTCAATTGAGTTTATCACAGTGCTTGAATTTCTTCAAAAGAGAGGAAACTTTAGATGGACATGAAAAACCAACGTGTTCAAGATACAAGGAATAAAAAATGCACAAGGTCTCTATCGATCTATAAGTTTCCTCGTATTTTAGTCATTTATTAAAAAAACTCTCACAGAAAGATTCAGAGGCAAGTTAAATGTTGCCATCGAATTTCCTCTAGATGGATTAGACATTAACAATTATGCAGCAGATAATGTGACTCCTTGTCGCTATAATCTATATGCTCTTTCGAATCACAGTGGGTCTACCTACAGCGGACATTATACAGCATTCTGTAAACATCCTTATATTGGCACGTGGCACGAATACAATGATTCACACGTGTCATCAATTTCACCAAAATCCCTTGTGAGTGGAGATGCATACATCCTCTTTTATGAAAAGGAGGAAACGATTTCGCACCTTTGAGCGTTTTGTAAAGTTATTTTTGAACTGTTGATTTTAATATGATAATGAATTATACGTTATCGTACAATTAAAAAAATCTTGTATAAAAAAAATAAACCAGGCTTACCACACTTTTCTGTATGATTGGAATACAGTATTTCCGTATAGATGGGTCTCGGAGGTGCCTTGAAATGGTCAACAAGACCACCTGACTTCAGCCCATTAGATTTTTCTCAAGGGTTCATCTCGAAAACAAGATATAACAAACGAAATCTGCAGATAGATGTTTGAGAACGTCTGAAATTGATTTTATAATAGGCTGAGTTGCTGTCAAAATGTAGAAGGAGGACATTTTGTTCATTTGATTACTCAGCATACTATTTTCTGAAATTGTAACTGAAATTGTATATGAAATAAATCTGTTAAAGAATGAGAAAGAAAAAAATGTTCGTGAACGAAGTAGATATTTGGAAATGAAACACATTCGACTTGTTTTTCATTTATATTTTTGCATTCAAAATTTGCCATTTTTTGCCCATTTTGCATCCCTTTTCATGACAAAATTTTGAAGTGGGTTGATCTGTACGGCAGAATGTTGAAAGTAGTTGAAAAAAATTTATGAAAGAAATAATAGAATTCAGTCTCAATAAAATATTCAAAAGATATTCTTCAGACCATACATTGAAAAGAAATGTTGACAACAGATCATTTATTAGTTAATAATTCAATTTTATTGATTGAATGTTTTGTGGCTAATAAAATAATGCCAAATTGAGTGCTACTTTCCTTTCTTCAATCCAGATACTTTTTTTTGAAACAGTTTTCAAAATAGCAAACTCTTAAAGGAACACATTTTTTCCAGAACATTTTCCGAACATTATATACAAGGTGATGATACAACTTAAACATATCAAACTGTAATCACATATAAAGGCCCCAACGTTCATATACCGAATGTAATCTTCATTGCAAATTACGCATAATCCATGTCTAGCAAAAAAATAGATAGAATTATATTCCACAGTCCAGTGATTAACACAATAATGTCATTGTAGTGCTCCATTATCTCAAAACCAGTGTAATGATCATTTCCTAAATCGATTTGTTGAAAAAAACAACAAAGCGCGTGAAGCGCAGATGGTATTTGATAAGAGTTATTAGGAAAAAATGATGCTCAAAGGCAAGATAAAATCTTTAAAAAAGGTATATAACTGGAGACAATATCTGATGAATCAGTGAAACTAGTAGCTTACGTTCAATATACATTATTTTCTATAATTTTGGAAAAAATGGGTAGTTTTGTGCTATTCCTGTTAGCTTTGATTGCTATGGCTCATGTAAGTATATTCTTTGTTCAAATGATCAATCACTCTTTATAGTTAGTTCTAGTTATTTTATCGAAATATGGAGATAACACCTAACGAACATGTATCGGATGATAGTTGATTCCATTTTGGCGGTTTAAAATAATAGTTTCAATTTCAGTTGAGCAAAATATGTGAAAAATGGTAATGAGCAGTCTATTGAATGGTTTTGAATATTTTTCATTAGCTAAAGTTGGGAGAATTGGTCAAAAGTCGAAACTGAAACGTCATTGCTTTAAAAAACAAAAAATGCTGCTAGGCAACACATTATGCTGTTAGTTATCAAAATGTTTGATTTACCGACCGCAAATGTGTGAAGCCAAGTTGACTTACTACACAGATTGAAATGTAAGGTACTATAAACATTTTTGAAGTACTTTTCTAAAACATTTTCAGTAATGAGTGATTATAATGCAAGAATTTTCTTAGGGCCCTTCATTCTGGTCATTTTACAATCTCCCACCGGAATCTTGTGGAACACCCAGCCGCTGTGTGAACCACCAGTTCACACAACGGTTCCTGATTCCCACCTGAAAATGTTAATAAATTCAAGGTTGATTCTGTTGTGGGTTCCCAACCCTTTGCATCTCTAATGATATGAATAAATATATAACTTCGTTTCAGACCCAGGAATTGACAGAAGAGCAAAAGGTTAAAATCATGGAGTACAATAAAGAATGCATGGAAGAGACCAAAGTCGCCATGGAGGTCGTATTGAAGGCTGCCGAAGGTGTCTACGTAGATGACGATAAGCTGAAGAAGCAGATTCTCTGCGTCAACAAGAAGATCGAAGTTCAGAAAGAAAACGGGGACATCGATATAGACGTTACCAAGAAGAAACTGATGACGATCCTGAAAGACGAGAAGAAAGTCGACGATGTTATTAAGAAGTGTGTTATGAAGAAGGATACACCGGAAAATACTGCGTTTGAGGCTGCTAAATGCATGCACAAGTTAGCGCCAAATCCCAAGGTTTTGTCGTGAGCTGTCTGAGATGTTTAACTGAATTCAATATATTACACACTATGAAGTAATGACATATTTTTATTTCATAACCGTTTCCAATAGCAATACAGTACACAGCCGCTGTAGTAGGGCTGTATACCAGAGACCGCAGCTACAGATCACACAACGAAGGGATATATAACGGAGACCTCTTCTATAGCTTACATAGCAAAGGGACAGAGACAGCAGACAGCTCGTGATGCATCATGGGAATGTGAAGCACTGTAGCACAGGAGGCAGGCAAATCATGGATCATCAAGTAAATGCTGATGAACCATACAGGTTATCTTCAAAACGTTGTCATTTATTTTGAAACATTCGTGGTGTCATGACACATTAACAATTAGTTCTTGAAGATCTTTCACTGAGTCGAAGAAAGTGTGATTCACTTCGTTATTCATGTGTTCACACAACGAAATCTAAACGACTGAAGTCTGAAGTCGGGTAAGCGAGAAGGCCACTCACTGCACTTTTTTTCCATCCAGTGTCCTTGAAACAAACTGGTACAGGAAATATAATAGTAATAATGATGCTATGGAAAATGCAGTGCTCCCAGAAACTTGGAAGAAACGGTCCCGTGGAAAATATAAAGTACTACAGTTTTTATACAAAATTTATTTCTATTACGACAGGAAAAATATGCATAAACTAACTTTATATTTAGGTTTTTCGAAACATCAACTCCCTAGTATGGTGCTAATGTCTCAAATAAGAAAAGGTCTTGTGTATAGGTTGTTTCAAATACAGATATAAGATTGGTGTATCACATAATAAAAACCTATTTTGGTTTTTCAAAGGGATAATTACCTTATCAACCTGCCTAGGAACCTATGCGACTGTATTTCGAGCGGAAATTTATGTTACTAAATTGTGTGCGGAGAGATTGAAAGAATCCAACCTCATACACAAGTCAATAAAAATATTCTCGGACAGTCAAGCGGCGTTGAAAGCTCTTGGCTCCCAAGAGCAATGTCTAAATTGGTAGCATATTGCCAAAAACTCCCTCCCCGCGATAGGAAGACTTAAAAGATTGTCTTTGGTCTGGATTCTTGGCCATACTGGTCTGGAAGGCAATGAGGCTGCTGCCTCCCTTGCAAAGGAAGGTGCTGCAAGCAGCTTCATCGGACGAGAATCTGTCATTGGCATCACTTTAGGCTTTGCCAAAAAAAAATTGAACACCTGGATGGCAAGGAGATTTATGGCCTTCTGGCAGAATATTCCAGGATTGGCACTCCAAGGCGTTTATTCACTCTTCGAACCTTCTATTATAGTTGTTGGACAGCTGAACTAGGATATCGAACAGGCCTACTCACAGGTCAATCATAATATTCAGAGACCTGGACTGTCGGAAGACAGTGTGTGTCGCAAGTGTGTTCAGGCCAGTCTCGACTCACCTACAATGTAGGTTAATTGACACCTATCAGAAAACAATTATTCCTCCGGCTAATACCATGAAGGGCGTTGGATTATATCCAACAGGTATCAGTGCCTGTGAAGATTCCTACGAATTGTTCTTATAGTTAATTTAATTTACAGTCAGTCCTTAAGTATGCCTACACAATAAAGGTGAAGGTTATTTTCTTTATCCTTTACTCCCTTGAGTATCCCTTGCTCGTTGTAAGAGCGAACTATAAAAGGGATTCACTCTAGCATTTTTATACTATCCATGCCAAAGGATGAATGCTATCTCAGGTATCACCAATGGTTACCAGAAGATCTCCCAGAGTACTCAACCTCGCATCCATGCAGCAAGCACCATGAATGAACAAAAGGAGACGGGCTCTTTGAGTTACTCATTTGCCCTGGAATAAAAACACTGTGTGTATGGGGTCAAAATCATTGAATTGTGAGGGGTATAGAAAGAGTCAATCTATAACTAAACCTCAGCGACCCCAACCGATCCAGAAATTCACACAGTCACCCTGGGATCTTCTGACCACAAACTCATTTCAGTGTTGAGTGAATTACCGATAATTGTTGGGAAACAATCTAAGCCGCGAGAAGTTCGGCATTACAGATCAGCTGAATGGGATGATCTTCAAGACCATTTCCGGAATTTCCCCTGGCTAGATGTTTGTTTCAGCTCTGAAGATATTTCTTGTCGGTAGCTGAAGCTGTACGTTCATATAAGAGTGTCAGTCAATCAATAGGTATCCACCTATACAATACTTGCGGTTCCCGCTGTTTTACCCGCGCGTTATCGTGGGAACCTACCCTATGTGTTATTCCAGGTCACCAACTTACATTTGAATCCGTTGAGCTGTTTAGGCGTGAAAAAGTAAAAAACGTTAATACATACATCACATTCATCCATACTCACAAACTTTACGCATTTATGATATTAGTATGAGTAGGTAAGATTGGTAGGATCACCAATGTATTTCTTTATGATCCTTTCAGTTTATTTTTGCTGATGCTATGCGATATTGTATAAGTGGGTTCCTATTGATTGACTGACTCATACAGTCAAAGCTACTAAACTTAGAATCTTGAAATGTGCAGGTAGGTTCTTTGTATAGCGTAAATGAGCATCAAGAAAAAGAATCAGAAATTGTCACCCCCAAGGGGGAAAATAGGGCTTTAAAAATTGTATTGAAGTTTTGAAGTTAGAAACCGTTTAAAATGATCTGTCACGAAACATAATGTGAGAAACCGAATTCTACGCGGGCGAGGCCGCAGGCAACAACTAGTATTTGAATAATAAAACAACACTATACGATATCTTCTCGAAAGTTCATTGGTTTCCTAGCACCTTTTTTATAAACTCAAACCATGACCCATTCCTGTTATGATTAAACCTGTTTACCGCGATTTGCAAGTCATTAATTTGCATCAACTGGACACTCCATCTTGATATTAATAAATGATAATTAAATACACAATCATTAGCATCAATTTTATTGTTGTTGCTGCTCTTTCGTAGAACCATTACAGCGTTGTACAAATCTTTGTTGAGATTTCATTACTCAGAGTCGCATTTAAATGCGGGTAAAATGTTCATTAAGAGAGTGAATGATTTTGGAAAAAATTAAATGAGTTCGAAACAAGAAATGTTCTGGGTATAATTGGGAATCGCATTTTCTTTGATACTGGTTAGACGTAAAAAAATGTAAAAAAATAACGGATAATCTGCCTAATTACCAGAAAAACATGACCTTCACAACTAAGCATTATACCATTGAACTGGAGGAAGTATTAAACAATTCTTTTACTTCTTTACCTTCAAAAGACGAGATAGGTTAAGGAATAGAACAGAGAAGAATAGCATGTAATCCTTTCAGGGTATTTCCTAAGATTATTTCTAGTAAATGATCTCTATATGACAAACTGTTTCTTTATGGGGAGATATTCAAGATATCATGGTAAATTAGTAAATATTTTCTAGAAAGAAAAAATAGTTTGTTGAAACTTATCGTGTTGGTCTGGCCCAGTTGCAGAAAGTTATACTAATTTCGTTCCGAAGATTTCAGCTTCGAAGATGATCCCCGAAGTGTACGACCTACAGAATTCCAGGACAAGGATTTCAGTACCATGGTGAAGACTGACCCATCACGAATGGGACGTGGAATTGCGGAATAACTGAGAGTCAGCTCCCATAAGGTTTTTGATGGTTTGAAACACCTTGGAAAGGTCAAAAAACTGTGGTTGGACATCAATGAGCCACTTACGGCCTTCCCAAAGGCGGAAACCTGATGAAAAAAGACTATGGTTACTGTATGGTGGATTTGAAGATCCTGCTGGAGACTTACCCATTGCAAACGGTGCGTGGTAAGGCGAAAGAACTAAGCGTCGGCGGTTTCTGATGGCTTGAAACGTCTTGGAAAGGTCAAAAAACCCTGAACGTGGGCAACTCAAAATTTGAACGCTCGACAGAATTTGTCACGTTTCGAGGTCTGTTCTTTTCTGCTTTTGCAGAAAAGAACAGCTAGCTATTGTTTTCTCAGTCATATTTATGAAAAACTTGATAAAAATGATTTTATTATCAGTGTGTTTTTTGACCTGTCAAAAGCTTTTGACACGGTATCAACTAATTTTGTGTTGACCAAATTAAGTGTGCCTAATAACATAGTACTATGGTTTAAGTCTTACTTGAGTGGTCGTAGCATAATTGTAAAGCAAATAAATTCAATGTCTAATGAACGCGAGGTTAGATTGGGGGTTCCCCAAGGCTCTGTTCTTGGTCCCCTATTGTTTTTAATTTTTGTCAATGATCTGTCGGAATATATGAGTGATTGCTATTTAACTATGTTCGCTGACAACACCACCATTACAGTCGCTGGACCTACTACAGATGATTTGCTAACAAAAGTTAGACTGATTATAGACCAGTTCACAAGCTGGTGTGATCGTAATCGTCTAGTTCTGAATACCTCAAAGTCGGTATCGATGAGATTTTATAATAGAAGTAGGGGTACCATAAGTGAATTAGCTCAGTGCGATAATATCAATATCAATGCAGCAAACGAAGTTAAGTTTTTAGGAACAATTTTGAACAATTTTTAGTGTCTGTAAAAAACTAAATAAAGCATATTTTGCGATCAAGCAAATGAAAAACTGTGTTGACCAACAAGGTCTATTGGCAATCTATTTCGCTATGGCTTATTCCCATATTTCACTCAATATAATGTCTTGGGTTTCTGGTAGAGATTTTAATAGGATATTTGTAGCTGTAGAGATAGCTGTAAACCGATATTTGTCAGAATGCAACTATTATCGGCACCATCAATTTATCTGTTCAAATGTGTTAATTTTGCGAGAAAAAATCTGTCCACTTTTGCAACCAATGCATCATCCCACAATCATAACACGCGGCATGGTAGCTTATTGAGAATACCAGCCCACACCACATCTAAATTTAAAAACTCTCCCCAGTATAGTGCTATTACGTTTTATAATAAACTACCCAACTTTTTAAAAAACTCCAAATCAGACAATATTTTTCATAAAAGTACTAAGGAATTTTTTATTGAAAAATGTTTTTATAATGTACAAGAGTATCTGGATGGCAACTTCAGCTGAGTTTTATTTTATTTCGTTTAGTATACTAACAAACTCTCATTGAGATTTTAAACTTTATATCTTACTTACTTGCTATATTTTAAATGTATATGTTTAGTATAAATAGTACCTGTTACATACCATATGTACATATTGTACCTCAGTGGCTAAATAAATTATTATTATTATTATTATTATTATTATTATTATTATTATCATCTAAAACGATCCTATTTTGAATTGCACCTTCACGTGTGATGAAAAGTGGATCCTCTACGACAACAGGAGACTTTTAGAACTGTGGTTGGACACCAATGAGCCACTTAGGCCCTTCACAAAGGCGGAAACCTGATGAAAAAGACTATGGTTACTGTATGGTGCATTTGAAGACCCTGGTGGAGACTTACCCATTAGAAACGGTGCTTGAGAAGGCGGAAGAACTAGGGGTCAGCGGTTTTTGATGGTTTGAAACGTCTTGGAAAGGTTAAACAACCCTGAACGTGGACAATTCAAGATTTGAACGCTCGACAGAATTTGTCACGTTTTGAGATCTGTTCTTTTTTGCTTTTGCACAGCCATAACGATTCTTTTTTGGATCGCATCTTCACATTTGATGAAAAGTGAATCCTCCACGACAACAGCAGACGTTTAGAACTGTGGTTGGACACCAATGAGCCACTTAGGTCCTTCCCAAAGTTGGAAACCCAATAACACAAGACTATGGTTACTGTATGGTGATCAGCGACTGGTGTGATTCGCTATAACTTTCTGCAACCGGGTCAGACCATCACAGCAGGGTCATATTGTGAGGAAATCGACGAAATGTACCTAAACTTGCGTCAGCAGCAAATCAATAATATTCTGGACTACGTATCTTGCCAGATTTTTATAGGCTGCTCTCTGGGAATACCATGTTTTTTTTTAAGTTTATAGTCAGATAGTTTTACAATAATTGAATACAACTGGCCGATACTACTACATTAAAAAAACTAATCACTATAAATTTATAGTGAAAATCATTCAATAAACTGTATTGATCAGTTTTGTTAGATATTTTTACACCAAATTATAATATTTCGGTGTACACAGTACTAAATCGTTTCTTTTGCCATATCCTAAAAACGTACGAACAGAAACACGGGCATTATAAGTTTGTTTAAAAGGCCGACCCTGATTCTAATTAGATATATTACTTACCTGGCGCAGGCATATGTTTTTTACCTCCTTATGTAAGCATTTAGAATTGTTGTTAACTATTCTATTTATAACAAACTTATCCTTGATCTTGAAAAAACAAATAACCGCAAAGAAGATTGACTTACGTTTAATTTAAATAAAATATTAATTTCTGTCATGGACATGTGATACTTGGAATAAAAATTAATTAATATCAACCTAGAGCTTCTTGATACAGTGTGAATAATTGTTATGAATTGGTGAATTTTCATAGATATTTTGTATGAGTTGTCTATTTGCACTACTAGTGACGAAATTCCTTCAAAACAGCTATGACTTTGACGAGGTTTCCATCAAATGTGTGTTTTTCATGTTTGATTTATTTCGAAGCGGTGACATAATCATTTGGATTGCAATATGCATGATATGTACCAAAGCGAGCGTCATTCACATCTTCCCGACCGTCTGTAAAAAGCGTGTACCACTTGTAAACAGTTTTCTGACAATCAATCACTATATACCACTGTCAACATTTCAAGGGTTTTTGAGCACCCAATTTCATTTTTTACACAAAATTTGATGCAAATTCTTTGATCCATTTTTTCGATAGCAGAAAATCGTCAAACACAATACAACACTTCCAACTTTTATGTCTCCCACCAACAAACTAAACATGCAGAACAGCTGAAACTAAGAACGTGTATTCGAGACGAGAACCAACATGAAAAAAAAATCACTAATTGAATGTAAACAGCCCGCGAAATTTGAACATTCACCTTTTTCTCGGAACAGACCTCTCCCTCAATCTGAAACATGTTGAGCAATGGTGTTTTCGTAATAAACTTCCTTTAGACGTGAGTAAATGTAATGTAATGACATACACATTGAAAAATCGTCCATTTTCATATCAATATTTGATAAACGATTTTTCACTTCAACGGCCTCTAGATCAGACAATATCTATCCACTAATTGGATGCTTTGTTAGCTACACATGCTATGAATAGCTTGATCTGCCGTCGTTATTGTCACTCCAGAATTTTTCTTTTTGAACTCATTAATAATTTAATTATTGACCCACATATTCTGCAAAAACTTAATTTCAATGTACCTAGATCAACCTCAATAAGTTGTACATCAAGAATATATACCTATAATGAAGATTTTTTAGAAAATAGTTGCAGGTCACTTTCATTTTGAGTAGTTATCTTTATGCGAACCATATTCTTCGAGATATCAAAGTATTATTTTTCTACTTTGGAATCTGCCTAAATATTTTCAATATGATATTTTGCTGTGTCATCTGTCGGAAATAATAAACTGAGTTGTATAGTGTTTTCAGAGATATACCAAATTGAAAATTTGATACTGAAAGATAAAAACCGATATGCTATTTACTCGAAAAAGAGTAAAATTCACCTTAATTCACAGCTATATAAGTTGTTCCTTTCAAAACACTAATATCAATAGGAATTTTGAAGTATGAACTGAATAAGGCGTGATTTCGTATGTAATTCAAAGTTCCTAATTAAAAGCGGTACTGCCGTAAAAACTATTTTCATTCATTCAGTTTGTGTCTGATTTGAGAATCTTTGTCAAGATTTTTTATTGACGTATTTACTTTTTTCTTCCTTTCTAAGTTCCTTGCCCTGAAAATTGAAGAAGAAGTAGAAAGCCATGGAGTTTTTTCTAAAAGTGATCTCCAAAAAAATATTTCCATTTTAATATATAAACTCAACATGTTTTAATAACCATTTTTTCTACTGAATGAGAATCACAACAGTGACATCAGGTCGTTCTTGACCCTGTACTATAATTAATCAGAAGAACCAGATTTCAAGCAGTGGTGGGGTGGAAAGAAGGACTTTGGGATGCCCGCTGGTTCTGGCGAGCATATAAATTGACTGTAAACGTTGGTCTCAGCAATCATTTCGCTATCGAGTCTACATTTGTAATTGTGATAATTGTTCCTGCAAATAAAAAATGAAGTTTCTGGTGGCTTTGGTATTTGCTGTTGCTGTTAGCTCTGCACAGGTAATGTTATTTGTATGTTTGTTTCGTTAATATTCTCCGAAATGGTGCTTTTTCAGAGTTCTTTCAATTCAAGTATTACTATTACTATTTGTATTTACTTAAGAACAGTACTAAATACAGTACTACTATTGATACATTCCAAAAGACTGTTGCCATTTCTGAAAAATACATGATCAATTGCCAGACTGGAAAAATAATTTTCATTTTGAGATCAATAACCGAAGAAACTGAAATAATTCCTTTCACCCCACTTCCAATTGAAATATAACATTGAATTTTTGTTGTATGTCACATGTATTACGATATGATAAGGCTTGATTTTCACTTCCTTGTTTTCATAACAGATGATAATGAAAATAAATCATCTCAATTGATGAAATGAAGCTTGACATTTTGTCTGGAACTGAAAATCAATTAAGAAGGCTATTATTTGCATACGCACATTATGCTTTGGCGTATATTCAAGTTAATTAATCCGTCACAATTTGGAACTTCAAAGATATGAAACTATGCCCTGGCAGAGAGGAGTTCTTTCATTTCCTCTGTCAAAAATATAAAATCATCATATCGATAATTTGATGAATCGTTCACTACAAAGTTTTGAGCTGAGGTGAGTTTTCCGTAGATACACTATAAACATTTTTGGAATGGAGAATCAAGATTTGAATAATTTGTCGTTTTATTCTCATTTCTGAAGATCAAGATTTATCACCTTATGAAAAAAGGGTTTTGCATTTGAATATCCTTAATGTTTCATTCACTCCATGTACTGTTTGATATAGAGTTATATATATTTATTAAAGCATATCAAGATGTAGCAACCATGAAAAGATATGAAACTATTCTTTTGAGAATTATTAGCAGATATTTTCACCAGTATCTCTGTCAATATATCTGCAAATTATAGAATCTCTATGAATTCTTGAGCTTAGATGGGATTTTTTTATATTATATTTGTGGAATGCCCTAAGATTATTCAAATATTGAAAGGGGAATATTTTTCAGGAGAGATCTGTCTCTGGGAAAATTTTTGGGTTTTTATTTATAAATTTCTATACAATTTGCATTCTTTCCTCCTTTCCACCTTTTCTGTGTAGAATTTGAATATATTCCGACTGTGATTCAAGCACATTATGATAATCATCGAATGATGAGGTTAATGTTTAATGAATCTTGTATTAATTGAAAGGGGATATTCTTAAGAATCAGTTTCAGCAAAAAACCGATTTTGGTTTTCTAATTCCTCAAATTGATAAAAAAAAGTTGATAAACTTTCCAAGAAAGGAAGAAAGCAATTAAATTTAGAATGAACTCTTCACAAAGTTATGAAGATCATGCAACGCCGATCTTTCCAAATATAAACTAGAATAAAAAGTCCTTTTCGCTGACATCAAGCTGGATGTTTTGTCTCATATTGTTTTCCAAAACGGGGTTGATGAGGTGATCAAGTCTGCACAAATGAGTGACATACAATTACAGGCAGAACTACAAAATATATGCACAAAAAGTTGTCATTTTTATTGCCTTTTTTCAAAAAATTTGTTGACGATATTGTTACGCCCATTTAAAAAAATAAACAAACTGAAATATTAGATACTTTTCATCCAAAATTGAAATTCACACTTGAAATGAAAGAAAACAATTCGTTAGCATTCTTGATACTGACAAAATCAAAGATGCAAACCGAATTTTGAAGGTAGAATAGTATCATAAACCAACTCTTCCTGAAAGATTTTTGAATTATTTTTTCAAACGTAACATTCAGAGTTGAATCAACATTATAAGGAATTTGGTAAAAGAGCAATTGCCATTTCCAATTCTGAATTCCATAACAAAAATCTTCAATTAATTGAGAAATATCTAGTGAAAAAATTATTTTCCCAGCAAAATAATTAAAAAAAAAAGTTCCTTTCCCCAAAATACAGGGGTGAAACCCAAATATAACAAAATTCCATTTGTAGAAAATTCATCTGATGAATTTGGTATGCTACTCAATACCGAACAAATTGAAGTGTCCTTTTCAAATGAAAATACAGTAGGAAAGCATTTCTTCTCGAAACAACAAACAAAAACACAACAAGAAATACAATCCAATATAGTGTACACATTGAACTGTGAAAGCTGTCACAAATGCTATGTTAGTCAAACCGGTGGATATCTTAAAACTCGAGTTTCAGAACACGTGAGAGACCACAGCCCCCGTTGAACATGGAAAAGAATATGGACACATTTTTCATTTTGATCATCCAATTATTCAAGATGATCAACTATATTTATAGAAAACACTTTTGAGCGAAATGATACATATCTTCAAATGCGATAGTGTTAATCCTAGAAGAGATTTCGATGGCCTCAATATGTCATATTTCGATTTGATGAGAAAGATACCTAAATAATTTACCCTCTTTTCAGTCTTTTTCTTTCTGTCATTGACTAAAACACAGACACCACCTTATCAGAATCACTGATGAAGCCATTAATTTTTTTCAGGTGGTTTATGTTAGTCTCGAAAGTTTGTCTATTGCAATGGTTTTTATTTTTTTTCAATATGTATCTAATATGTCTGATGGTTTTTAAAATAGTAATATAATCAACAGAAAGAAACTACTTTTCGGTGAGTAATTCAATTAAAGACTCATTATTTCTTGTAGAATTGAAACGATAATTATCGTATGAGTTTTGTTGGAAATATGTTTATGAAAATTCATTGTTACAGAACCCTAAAGATGAATTTCAATCAATTCAGAAAAAATACTTCTGATACGTTTAACTCATATCGAATAACACGAGAACACGATGTATATCATACATCTGCGAAACTTTGTATGAATCAATTTGAAACATGAAAACTGTAAGAATTAGTTGGTTACCCCGTTGAAGTAGACATGAATGCAATTAACAACCTAAAAACATATACTTTAATGATGGAGGCTGAATTTAAAATAATTTGAATAACGAATAAATTGAATCAATTTATAAAACCAGTGTTTCATAGTAATTAAAAACGCATTTAATTAGCATAGCTGTTTGGACCCTGCACTGTAAGAATATTAATGAAAATAACTAAGGTTGAAAATTGTCGTTATTTTCTCACACAAATATAATGTAACGTTGGAAACGTCATTTCATTTTGAGGTAAAGAAGTGGATTGAAAGTATTTCAAATACATATATTGTACACGTTGTGGAATTGGCCGTGGTGGTAGTGCGCCCGACTCACGATCGGAAGACCGTGGGTTCGATTCCTGCCTCGACTAGATATTTTTTTCGAGAGAATTTATCTGGTTGAAGCTGGGATGATTCTGCAACCGTGTTAGGAATCACACGTTAAAAGGTAAGACCTCGTTAGTCCTTAGCTCGCACAAGTTTCTCAACTTCTGAGAGTTGTCGTTCGTATGGGGGCGACAGCTGATTAACGGAAAAACAGATTTTGAACAGATTTTTTTAAACACTGCCAGATAAAAAATTCTGAAATAAATTTAGTCTCAAGAAAAATTATTGGATCATTGAACTAGTTAAGCAAAAAATATTAAATTTTGTATAACGAAGATACCAAATCCAAAAAAAAATTAATCAACGATCTGAGCTCAAAATAGTTTGAATTTTCCAACATTTCTCTTCTAATTCAACCAATATCCTATCTCTTACTGTCACCGACACAGCAATTAAATTTCCGCCACCCGATATTTCATAACGTCTCTCAATTTTTTCAAATGTTACCTGATCTATGTTACATTCCTAACAAATATAATAAAACGTCTTTGGTCAACTTAGCAAACACCGGATCCTCAATTATCCTAAGTATCTACAACAAACATTGTTCAGTTCCATCGGATCAGATCTCACCCAAAGTTCTCCAGATTATTCATGACACCATCCTTTTATTCTACACTTCTCAAATGCTCATCTGGAGCCAAATCTTGTGAATACAGTGGACGTGGGGGCAATTCGAAGCACATTTCATGCAATTTTGCCATCGTTTTCATTGATTTGTGGCACGGTACATTGTTTTGATGAAACAAAATATTTTCTTCGCCATATGCGGTCGTTTCTTTGCAATTTCGGAACGCTTCAATGACGCTATTGTATAACATTTTCTGTTGATGACATTTTGCTTTTCAAGATTGTCGATGATTATTGCACCACGTACATCCCAAAATACCAGCCGATTGTTGTTAATAACAAAGAATTCTGATAATTTGGAACATTGATAAATCCAACGATCATTTTTTTGCTTTTTCCAAGAAAATTACATGTGAATTCCTTTCAATCTTTGAATTTAGGCAATGAAGGAAAGTAAGGATTTTTGTGACAGTCATTGGCTGCATGATTTACCTGATGGTTTTCATAAATCACCAGTTTCGCTTCCAGAGATCGATGGTTATGAGTAGCCATCGATGGTACTGTCGGAAGCACTCATGATTGTTGTTGATAGTTGACGTAATTTCATTTTTTGATAATGTACACTACAACTGAATAAAATAAAATTCTCAAATATGTAGGTATTTCTGACCATACATAGGTCAAACTTTGAGAAATACCTCCACGGTTAAAACAGCCATAGCTTTTTGAATGGAATATTTAAAATACTCCAATAAACTCACCTTCACGTCTCTTTTCAGGCACAAAACACAAAACAGCAGGAAAAGCTGAAGCAGCACCACGTTGAATGCGCCAAACAAGTTCCCGTCGACAAGGAGCTCGTAGAAAAAGCTGGAAAAGGTGACTTTGTTGACAACGCCACACTGAAAGAGTACTTCACCTGTATCGCCAAAAGGTCTGGTTTCCTCAACGAAGCTGGAGAAATCCAAAAGGAAGTCCTTCTGAAAGAGACAGCAGCTGCTGCCGGAGACGAAATTGCCAAGAAGTTAGTTGACGCATGCGCAGTGCCAGCCGGGCCTGATACCACGTTCAATGTCGCCAAATGTTACTGGGAAAAGTCTGCGCCCAACCCTGTCAGATTGATTTAGTTTCTAGTTGTTTCTTTCAGTACTTTAATAAAGTGATTTGTTGATAAACCACCGATGTTTATTTATTTGAAGAAAAGGGAATTGGAAACTTTTTATGTTTTTCACCACTTTTATTTGTAACTAACGTTATTGCAGTTTCGTCCTATAAGGACATTTTCAAACTTATACATTAAACTAACAATGGTTGATTACATAAGCCCTTATATAGCACCCCTGTAGGTAATAATAGAGGTACTTGGCTTGATTGAGTACCTGAATTTTGTTTACTAGTTACAATGCGGATATGCTAATTTGAAAACCAGTGAGTAAACTAAATCGGTTTGATCATTTAACGGGTTGCACCCGCAATGTTTATGCTTGTGAATTTCCAAGTATTCTAAATGATTGAGTTTGTAACCCTTCCTTGCATAGTGCAAAATTTTCGTATCGTTTAGATTCGGGAAATTGTGGTTGCAAGGCAAGGAATGGTTTGAAAACATCGAATCGTTTTTTCCTAGTCTGAAGGACCTGTCATGTTCAGCATACCGTTTTTGGAAATTTCGACCACATTGTCCCACATAGACACTATTACACTCCGGACACTTAAGCTTATAAACTCCAGATTTCTCCAACATGTTCACCTTTTCTTTGGCATCAAAAAGGAAATCATATGGCATATGGTCTGAATGACACTTCCACATTGTTTTTTCTGAAGCAACCCGCAATTATCTCTGTTCTTTTTCCAAAATATATTTCTGGTTGTTTGACCTGAGGGTATATTAATCTGTAAGTGAGTTTACGGCTTCTGACTAACTTCTGGATAGTATCTGCTTTGAAACCATCATTATGACCTATCTGTGTAATTATATCAATTTCTCTAGCGAGATTGTTAGGAGACACAGGCTGTGAGAATGTTCTGTGCAACATTGAATTGTAGGCGAGAATATCGTCTACATATCTGTACCAAAAATGAATATGTGTTTTACCTAGGTCGTAATTTACTATAGTGGTCTCCAAACTGTTCATGATTATGTCTGCTAAAAGTGGACTAAGGAGTCCCATTGGTGAACCCGAATCCTGTTTATGAAATTTGTTTGTTGAACTGTAGGTAGCCTACAGGAGTGCACTTTTTTTCATTGAGATCTCCTACCACGTAGTAACGGCTACAGCCATCAATTTGTTTATTTATTTGGGTGAGAGTTTATGAAGGAACCAGCCTGGCCAGGCTTCCAATTGTTTTCAAAGGTATATATTACAGATATTGGAAATTTTAAGTAATTATTTCTTTCAAAACACTTCTTATAATCAGCGATAAAATTGCGTCACATCTGTGTGTCATTATTGAAATTGAATTTTCCCATATCGATGCATCCACCTGAGAATATTTCAGAAAATAATCTCTATTACTCGATCTACAAATCGTCTCAGATAAAAATACAGTCTATGAATCCAACTTTTTTTAAAGACAGAACATAAGCACTACAATAATCAATTTGAAAATAAGTAACTCTATACATGGATGTGTAGATCATGCAAAGAAGTAACTTTCAGACACAAACTGAAAGAAAGTCCTCAAACTTTTATTGATAACTATTAATATTTTAACGAAATGTTCGATATTTAACAATACCATTAGAACAACTAACCCTATGAATATATTAAGTTTGAAAGTTGTCGATTTTGTGAATTCCTTTTAAAAAATCGACGACCTTTGGACCAGAATAAAAATAGTGACACTGCAAGCTCCTAATTAGCACTTCATTACCACGCTTAGTTTATACCTGATAGAGCATTCGTCCTTGTTTTCTAGAGACCTGATCTGTTGTTTAGCAAAAAAGGAAGCTTTTGTTTATTAATTAGAAAAATTTACGAACCTCACAGTTTAGCACCTAATTAACATTCATCATTTTATTATTATTTTTATTCCGTTGCTAGTATTGTGTTGCTGTGTAAGTTACAGAGCACCTAATTTTTGATTTTGGTACCTAAAAAGCACCTAAAATGTACCTAATTTTGGCATTTTCTAAATGCGATTTCCGTACTTTGCGTTGCTGGCATAACAGAGCTAGTAGGTATTCACTGAGATATTACAGTTTAAATTAGACTCATAAAAACAGGGAAAACTTTTGAAACAACCTAATACAATAGAAAGCCAAAAACTTTCTTTCCCAAAAATTATTCATTCCTGAAAATATAACCCCTTCAATTCTAATACAATAGTTTGTCAGAATTGTGAAATGAACCAACAGAAAGTATCAAAGTATATAAGATTCGATATGATTATATAAATATGAAAACACAATCGAAGAAGAGTTATGGCGGATAACGATACAGCCTACTTATGTCGTCAACAATTTTTATGAAAGCATTTTGATTGTTAAGTAGAATCTGTTGAACTCAAAGTAATAATTTCGCAGTAATAATGATGAATTTAAGTGTTTCATTGTGATTTGAGTGAAAATACTGAGACGAACAAGAATCTATACAGACACGGGGAAATCTACACGTCAAATTTCCTTTCACATTGTTTACGGAATGGAAATCTTTCAAGTTTCATCTCATATCTCAAACCTTCTTTACCTCGAAAATTATTGTATAATTACCCATCTTTATTCAACATTGGTTTTTAGACGGGCTCGATATTTGCTACAAACTCAAGGTTGACTAAAGTATGTGAAATTGATGAAAATTGATACATTTTCGGCAGTTCGTGTAACTTTTGTGTTATCGATTCTGATGTAAAATTTGTGAAACGTGCTTATTTTCCATAACTACTATCATAAAAAATATAATGACTATTTATATACTGAATAATGTTCGAAACATGTGCAAACGTCAAAGATCAGGTCATATCTTTTATCAGCAAAAAATCTGAAATTATTAAGTTTCCGTGAAAGGTAAAGAGACACGATTTTGAATCTATTAATGAGACAGCTCATTATGAAATGAATTTGTGATTTCATTGCCATGTTGAATAAATAATAATTCATATCAAATCAAATTTATTTCAATTTTTTCAGTACAAGAAGTGAAGTATTTTAGGACCCTTGATGTTTTCAGTGTTCATTTTTGATTACCACAATTTCTTATCATATTGTCAAGAACATCTATACTCAGATGATATACAGTTATATTTGTCTTCTTATAACACCGATACAGAACGTTGCGTGGCCAATATAAAGACAGATTTGCAAAAAACATTTCTTCACTCGGAGAATCATGGACTGAAAATCAATCCAAATAAAACTTTGGCCTTATGCTTAGGGTCTCAAAGACAAATAGGAGAAACTCAGTGTAATTTTAGACTCACTCTCGACAACGCAGACATTGACTGGGTAGACAGTGCTAAAAATCTTGGCGTAACCATAGATAGCTCTTTGTCTTTCCATGAACATGTGACAAACATTTTCAAAGTATCATTCTTCAAACTCAAATTGCTATATAAATTCAAGTATCAGTTATCAGAAGAAATGAAAGTCAGGTTATTTAAAACTCTTATTTACTCCCATATCGAGTATTGTTGTTCGGTGTATTACAATTTTTTACCGCAATATAACGAGCAGAAGTTACATTGTATACAAAATGCTTGCATGGGATTCGTATGTTGTATACCATATGGTGAACATGTCACACCATTTTTGATAAACATTTTTTTGTTTATGTTGCTTCAAACTAAAACACCTAGTTATTTATATAGTTAATTAAGCAGGTATTCTGACATACACATGGTCAATTTGTTAGTTAACTCATTCAACATACCTAGGCACCGTACTCCCAAATTTCAAGGATGTTTTGCTTATTTAGCTCCTTCTTATCTGAATGAAATTTTACCCCTTTTAAATCATAATATTCATCAATTCAAGAAAGAAATAAAATCACAGATGCTTACTGTTCACTGCTAATTTAAAAAGTTTAAAATTCAATGTATGATAGTGCAATTATATTGTTAAATTGACCAAAACTGACTCGAAAGAACGGTCTAGTAGAGTCTTGATGATTTTTCTCTTAGTCGATTGATGGTGGTTGGATTTCAGGTTCAGATACTGTCCTGTGTGAGTGGGTTTTCGACATACAGATGTTTCCCATTCAGTGGCGGTCCTCAGCACCAATACGTCTAAGAAAGTCAATTCGTTGTGGAGATTGTCTTCGGGTGATAACTGGACTTATTTCTCCGAGATCTGACTATTTATAGGTCATTCGGGTGCTTTCAGTTTTCACCTATCATCTCTTTCCTCTTTCCGCTTCATTGATTTTAGCGGGAGGTGACCGTTTGGCGGGAGTTGGTCGTTTTTCGCTTGATAAGAGGTTTCCATATGTTACGTATCTCTATGCTAGCTTGACCTAATGCGTTGTTGGACAACATATATATGATCTATTATTTTTTCTCTTCTCTATCATTGTTATCATAGTAAATAAGTATTTTTATAATTATTTTCTTACACTCACTGTATAATTTTTGGGAGGGGTGGAAGATAGCCTTTGGCTAACCCTTTTCCTTTTATGTATAAATGTATTTTTATGTATAATAAACGATATTATTATTATTATTATTAAAATTATTATTATTATTATTATTGATAATTAAGTCATAAATATTTGTCAAAACCACTACAAACAGGCATCAGAATGCCTATTTGTGCTGTTCTTCTCCTCTCATAGTTGGAATATCATTTTATGGTACATATTTACATAAATGAAACAAATCTTTCATTTTCTTTGTCTATTCAGAACGTAAGAGTGACAGTAAATTAAAATTGAATTATCATTAAAATTGGGGTGAAGTTTGGAAAGAAAGTAAACTGGAGGTCACCTCCTGCACTAAGTGATAAGTTATTGGTACATCATTCCATTATATTTTCAGAATATGTTAAGACATATTAGAATGTTCTAATATATGCTTTTTGATAGCATATTTGAATAAATTCGAAATACATTTCGAAATATTCATTTCCTTGTACGTATGTATCTCTCCTGGATAGTTTTCACTTTTAATTTCTATAAAGATCTAATTTGGAAGAAGAAAAAGGGGTACACTTTGCTAACCTTTCGAAGAATATTTATATTGATATAATTCAATTTGTTCAATATGCTACTTACTGACAACATAGTGCCTAGTAACTTAAAATTTCTCAGTAGGTATAGGTTGAAATTGCTTTACTACGTATTTTGTACATACTACGAATCAGGCCATAAACCTACTTGAGAATGTTGAACTATAATATCATACTTATAGCTGCAGATAAGTGCTTGATTGAAATTTTGACTGATCAACACGTTGTTGTTGCTAACCCCATACAAAAATTATTATCGTCATTTACAAAGCAAGATATGGACCAGTGGTAGGGCGAAAATTGAAGTCGGCGGTAGTTTTTGTATATATAGAGTATCAACCATGAACTTGGCTTACACTTCATTAACTGTCCACTTCTGTGAGTTTAGTATTTCCCTCAACAAAAAAAAAAACATGAAGGTTATTACAGCAGTTCTCATTGTCGTAGCTATTGGCATTGCAGAGGTAACACTTTTTATATCATTGTTTGAGCAATGTTTGTACTGTTCAGAAAAATGTCTCGACATGATCCCACTGAATATAAAATATTTACTGATTTTATTTATCTTGTTTATTAAGAATATTGCTTTTCAACAATCAAACATTTTTTGTCAAAGGAACCTATAAAAAAAATATAAAAATTATAATGGAGAACTTTATACAAGTGTAGAAGGGCAAACATTTTAATTTACCCCGGTGAGTTATTACGTAAAATCAAAGTATTTTTCACAAAGAAAAATCTTCTATTTATCAGTAACTTGTCATATTTAACTATTTTGCTTATCAAAAAAATTGCTAAGAATAATACAATACTTATCTTAACGTTTCGGAGGCCAAAATCTGCCTCGTCTCCAAAAAAGGACAAAAAAAAAATTCTAAAATATTGGCAGTTATTCCTTTTTGATTATTCATTTCAAAAATAATCAGTTTTTTAATAATAACTGAGATAATTTTGTAGACATCTTTGGCATATTTGGTACATGTGTTCCATGCCTCAAGGCGAATAAATTTCAGGTCCATATTGCAATAGTCCGATATTAGTTTGTCAATTTTATATTGTGTTAGTCCACTAATGTTTGAGAGAAGGATATAGTATTTTGTGTCCACTATTTTGTTTTCCGATCTAAAAAAGACAATGGCCTTTTTTCTGCTACCACCACTTCTTCATTGCTAAGGAAATGTCTGCCCCTTCTGAAGTCATAACGTTCAAATCCTATATATCTCGGCCAGAAACACGGATCATAGAGTTTTTCTTTCGAAAGAGGATCTGCACCAACCATGAACGATTGATTGTTGCGTCTTGTATTGAATGTTGATAGCTTTTTAACTTCGACTTCTTGTAGACTCGGGTCCTGTTCTGGCTTTACATTTGTTTCAATGAAGTTTTTAATGTTTTCTTCCTCAATATCATCTGGAACCCTTGTCACAAATAACCAAATTTTTTTCGGTTTATCCTGTTTTATTAGAACTTATTTGCTGAAAATCTTCAAAATATGTGAAATGAATCAAAGATACACATATTTCATTTACATATATTGACCACAAGAAAAAGTAAGATGAGATCTTGAAGGATTCATAAACTCAGACAGGACAGGGTTTTTTTAAGGTATTGCTACTCCTTTGAAATGAACTAGGGTTCAAACTGAAACTACACAAAAATATTTTTGTATGTTCTATTTCAATAATGTCAATTTTTTTTCCATTTCAATATTACCAACTTTCATTAAATTATGTATTCATCATAACCAATACATGTGCAATTATTATGATTCGTATAATTAATTTGTGACAGTACAGAGTCCATACATTACTCATAATTAGAAATTTGCAACTGCAGTCAGTCAACATTATGACTCATTGTTTTCCCTTGTCAATTTAATTGCTTTTCTATTTGAAGAATTTTCCAATTCTTCTCAACTTGAAGAATAATTAATACCATTGTTCACTCATTAAAATATAATCAGGTTGATTTTCAAGTGAGACAGTCATTTAGATGAAAATTTTCTGAAAGAGATAGGTCTCCCTTTTTGAATAACGGAATAACCTTTTAGAAAATGTATTTGGGAAGATCCCAGTTAAAAATATTCGATTTATCAATTCAGTAAATGGGTACAACAGTATACTGGAAGTTTCCTTGATAATTTCACTATTGAGTTCATTAGCGTCTAAACACTTGGCGTTTTATGGCATCTAGACCAGCCTCCTCGGTTACTGGACATAAGAAAAAACAATTAGAACGAGCTGGAAAATTTCTGAAATTGAGTATTTCACGTTTTGGTAGTGTTGGTTGGGACTTGTGTGTATACTTGATTTCCTCATTACTTGAACACAATGAATCCATAATTTTTTCTTCTTGAATAGCCCAATGTTGATTTTGAATTACAGTTTTTCTTCTTTTCGTTTATCCAAAAAATTTCATTCATTTCCGTGATTCAACAATTAAGCTAAGCTCAAGCTTAGTAAAGCCCGGCTTTGCATGATGTAAGGAGAATAGGGGCTTCATTAGTATTTTATACTGATACTTTATTATAGTAAAAATGAGAGGCATGTTTTTCCCAAGTCCTACGGATTGATTTCCCTTTCAAGACGTCTCTTTCTCTTCCAGGCTCAGAATCCTCAACAAGAAGCAAATCTGAAGCAAGTCCGGGTGGAATGCGCAGATGAAACCGATTTCTCCTTAGACTTGTTCACCAAAGCCATACAAGGCGATTTTGACGATGACGATGATGATGATGAGGAAGCACTGAAATCCATGCTATTCTGTATTGCTAAATTGACTGGCCTCATCAACAAATCCGGGGAACTGCAGAAGGAAGTCTTCCTGGAAAAAACTGTGAATGAAATTGGACAGGCTGAGGCTGAGAGGTTGTTCAGCCTGTGTGGAGTGCAGCAAAGCAATCCACGCGAAACCGCATTCCATGCTTTGAAATGTTACACGTTGTATTTTAATAACCGTAAAACTACTCTCTTTTAGGTTGTCTTCTCATTGAAAATGCCATTAAATTAATTAGCAGACTTTTGAACACGTTTTTGTTGACCCGTTTCGTATATACCGGTAACGTTATTAATTGTGATAAACTTCAATATATACTGAGGAAGTCTTGATGGGATGAAACAATCTGGAATTGTTTTATATTGATCCAGTATTAGTTTACCGAACTCTCCCGACAAATGAACAGGTTTTTAATAAAAACCATCCTGGTTATAGAGTCAGTCACATAACCTTAAAGACATGAAGAACATTTACGGTGCGGACATACACTACTACATGAAAAGGTAATTTTCATATGTGAACGATCCTTTTTTACCCCCCACGGGGGCGCCCCAGTTGGAATGAATCTTTTCTTAGTGCGCATCTAAGACCTAAGTAGCACCTATATATAAAAATTTAGCTTCCTAGGACTTACCGGTGTGGAGAAACAGAGATTAATGAATTTTAAGTGAGTTTCGTTTTCATAAGTATAGATTAATGATATTTTACTATCAAAGGAGGTTTAAATAAGTATTTCGATAATTTCAAAAATTGAAACCGGGAATTATCTTTCTTTTTGGAACATTCTTTGAAGGCTCCTCCAATTTGCCACTCAATCATGAACAGAAATGTTGAAAGACTGAAATAATGAAGAATTGAATTATTTTTCGATATCTCGATTGGTTTTGCTTTTCTTATCGATTGAAACTACATATCTTTTTAAAATTTTCCATGTTCATGATTATTACTGAGGGCGATGATTTATAATAGACGAATTGTTCCGTTATGAAATATTATTCAATGATTAAATATTTATTTCTTCCTATTTTTCTGAAATATAATTATTTTCACTGCTCTATTGTATTCTGAAAGAATATATTTTTCATATTGATTCTTCATTTGTTCATTTGATAGAGAATTTGTTATAAACAAATGAATTTTCGAGCCTAATTTTTGCAGTGTGAACATTGAAAAAAAATAAACATGCGTCATTATATAATCATTATTTTGGAAGTTAATTCGTTTATGAAATAGATAAAATAAAAAAATTTAACACATAATACAAACCTTATGATCAAAAAACAAGCCACTCAATACGACCCATGCCTTTTTTTCTGCTTGAAATATATAATAGAAACTATAGTCGATCCACTTGATCCAATTTTTACAGATGCTGTTTATCGCCATCTTCAATCTTTCGATAGAGTCGAAAAAATTCATTTGCATCTGCATGAGGTGAACGTATTTCATTTCTTTATTATATCTGAATGAATAATGATCCGCCACAGCAGATCAGGAAACTATATTCAGTCGATAAACAGGACCGAAGTGGCTGTTGGTGACTAACTAAAATATGTTTTTACTCTGGACAAATCATTTAGCGTCTGGATTCTTGTTTTTGAATAACTTTCTCTGGTTGATCTGAACATTTTCCCAAAGAAGTAGGATTTAAGCGGAATTTTTCATCTCTGAATAAGTTTGAATCCTTAAAATTTTCTATTTCTGATATAATGAGACATATTTATCATCTCCTCAAGTGGCTACGAATTTTTTTCGGTGGAGATTCGATTTGCTAGTTATTTGGAAATGCCCCCTGGATTCCTTGATGAATCTTTTCAAAACAAAAGAAACTGGGGTTTGTATTTAAAAAAAAATGAAATAATGACAGTTCCTAAACGATCAAAGATTTCAAAATATTAATATGAAATGAGTCATTCACAAACAGGTGAAATTCAAGGCAGAACGTTTGACATTAATGACAGTCAACCAGAATTGAACCAATCTCGTTTGTGATTGCCAAGGACTCACAAGGACAAAGAACATTTGAAGGACTATGTCATGTTCAGTACAATTATATTTTTTCAACAATGAGAAAAGTAATATTGAGTAATATCACCTTTAATGTCTCCTCTAGTTTTGTTGTTTTCGCTGCCTCAGATCGTTGCTTTCTGAGCAATAAGCCTCATAATAATAATAATAATAATACGTAGAGACGTATACTTACCTCGGGGTAGAATAACGCCATTCACAGGAAGTAACAGCAGTGAAGAACTCTCTCCGCGGCAAGTATCAAAAAGTGTCAGATCTGGTCATCGGAACTGTCGGGAAAGAACAAAGTTGCTGCAACAAATATGCTTGCCGTTCCAATCTTTCTCTACTCGTTTGGAGTACTGAAGTGGACTTGGGAGGAGCTGCATCAACGTAAAGACCCGAAAAATGATGCATCTCTATAGGAGTTTGCATCCCAAATAGTCCGTTCCACGGTTGTACTTCCCCCGACAACAGGGAGGCTATGGACTTTTGAGTTTGGAGTGTCTACATGACAGAATGGTACTGGATATGGCCTGAAGAGTCATCAGTATTTCGGATCCCCTTCTCTGCTCAGATCAAAGCCGCAGAGACCACCTCACTTCTGTGGAAACACAAGTAATAAGCCAATGCATGGGGTCTTCTTCATTAACAGTGGAGACCTTGGCTTATCAAAGCGCCTGACGTTCGCTTTTTTCAGGTCGGAAACTGAGGGGTTCATCATGGCTTGCCAGAATGGTATCTTCAACACCTTAGTCTACCGCAGTCGCGTGATGGGTTAAGAGGTTCCTGACACAAGCTGCAAGGCCTGCCGCGAGGCGTCCGAGACCCTAATGCATTTGCTATCAGCATGTCCAGCATATGCGGTCTCGGTCTATATCCATCGACATAACGCGGCCCTAAGAGTGCTTTATTACGATCTACGGCACTCTTACGGTATTGATGAGACACCGGTGTTGACCTACGCTCCGGGGGATATTGAATCCGTTGTGGGGAACGAGAAGTGCCGAATTTATTGGAACTATTCGTTTCCCACCCTCAGGCTTATACAAGCTAATAATCCTGATGTGGTCCTTCTCGACCACCAGAGCAAAACGATATTTGTCGTGGAGTTTTCAGCTCCTGGCGGGACGAATATCGTTCGAAAAGAGGAGGAAAAACGTTTAAAATATCGAGAGTTTCTCTTCGAACTCCGCAGACTCTATCCAGACCACTCTGTCAAGATGGTTGTTCTGATTATTCGAGCCCTTGGTGGAATGATGCCCTCTCTACTCTCGAATCCTAAAATCATACCGGCTTGCCGCACTAAGGCAGAAATCTTAGCCGGACAGATGCAGTAGGCTGTCATTCTCTGCTCACTACGCTTGCTCAGGGCACACATGATTCTTGAACCCAATGATCACTTACCCCACGGTGTGGGGAGTGGTTATTGGTTGATAATGCTGGCGCGCCCTCCCGAATGTATCGGGGCTTCGGGGGATAGGGCCTGACCAGTGCACACTATGGTGAAAAGAAACATAATAAAGTTCATTTTCGATAAAACACAAATTGCAACACGTGTATGGATTAACACAATTTTTGAAAACAAACATACTAATCACTGAAGCAAAAAATGCTTGTGCGTGATGCATGGAAAAAAATATATAAATACAGAGAAGTAAATTTGTAACATGATCTAGGTGGGAAGTTCATATCGAGTGAAAGGTCACAAATAAGGTAAATGCATCAAATTAGGGTAAATGTATCAATTCCATGTTTCTAAGTCTATATTGGGTGGGTGCGTCAATATCGGGACGATTCAGCAGAAGCAATCATAAGCTATTTCGAAAATTTCGGGTTGATAACTTCATTGAATATTGTTCTACCAGTTCTGTCTATCCAAATTTTCACATGACGCTTGAAAGAAAAATAGTTTTTAATAACTTTTATTTCATCTGGTAGTCAATTGAATACTTTCGGAGCCAAGAATTTTACGGAAAGTTGCCCAGTACTCTTTTCACGGCACGAGACATTTTTATAATTCATCTTAGTTCTTGTATTATTTGTATGCTCAATGGATTGAAGAGAAATTTGTTTCTTATTTATAGAAGTTATTATTCTTAAACCGGCACATACAGGTATCATCATTCATAATTCGTCCACTCACCCATATCAGAATAAGGTAGCAGCTTTCAACAGTATGATCCACAAACTGACAAATGTAGCCTTATCAGAAGCGAATTTCAATAAAGAACTGAGTATAATAAAGCAAATAGCCGTCAACAATGATCACGATAGCGGTCTGATACATTCTTTATTATCAAAAAAGTTATATAGTCAAGCTTTGAAAGAAGTTTACCCGATTCGAAGAGAAGAGGATAGAAGTTATAGAACCTCAACCTACTTAGGCCAACCCACTACAAATATTTCAGATTTTCTGCACAGCAAAGGTGTCAATACTGCTTTCAAAACCAACAACAACTTAGGCATGCATATTAAAAATAACAAAAATAAAAGTTCAGTTTCAGAAAAATCAGGAGTGTATAAATTATCGTGTGGGTCATGTCCGATGTTTTATATAGGTCAAACTGGAAGAACGTTCAAAGCCCTCATAAAAGAACACAAATTTAGTTTTCAGAATGGAAAAATAAATTCCACATATGCCAGTCATTTAATCTCAGAGGGACATGAGTTCAACCATGAATACAAACCGCTCCATTTCCAGAAGAAAGGTTTGAAACTTAACCTGTTGGAGAGTATGGAAATAAACAAATTCAAAAACTCTCAACATCTTATGAACGATCAAACTGAATTGAATAATTCGCCATCATTGAATCTGTTCATTCGCAGGTAAAAAAATAGTTAGGTATACTTTCAGGTATACCTTTACAGGTAGATTCATTATTCAGGTAGACAAATAGGTACTAGGTTATAGTATATAATGGTGTAATTTAGAAGTAACTCTCAGTTTACGCTTGAAGAAGGTATTGTATAGCGAAACACGTGTCGAGGTTTTTGTAAAACCCTAATAGTGAAAATCATACAAATAAACTGTATTGATTAGTTGTTTATTATTCTTTGGCAGAATATTTGTCTTATATTAAAATATGGTTTTTGGAATAAAGTAGATCCGAGGAATACCTCATGGTTTTTTTTTAATATTATTCTTAATATCCATCTTTGTATTACACTCAAAATGGACCAGTGAAAAATACAATATTTTGAGGTTTTTCATGTTCAAATAATCGACCAGATATATGAACTTGCTTAGCATTCCTCTCAATTCAATGCAAATCCCATCTTAGGTGCCTATCTATAATGATTCCCAGATATTTCGTTTCATTTTTTCCACTATCACCGTATCTTCGTCTATTTCCGAAGGTCCTAGATTAGGTAAGTGGTTGGAGTAAATTGTGAATGGTAAGTAATAAGTTTTTTTGCTATTTAATGTTAGTTTGTTATATTTCAACCAATCACATATTTTTTAAAAGTCAATTTGGGCCTCAATTTTCAGGTCGGACCAAGATTCTCCCTTGTACATAATGGCCGTAAGCCTCTCAAAGAATCACCCTGTAAAAATGATTCTCCCAGAGATTAATTTTCGGTTAGAATCATTAGTGATTACCTGAAACTCGGCAGGCCCATAATGGCTTTCTAATATCTATTCCAACCCTGCTTGAACTCTTTAGAATATGATGATATTAAATGCGGTCATCACGAGATGTTTTCTGTAGACACCGCCGGAAGCTAAGAAGGGTTCATCGTTCAAAAGCGTTAGAGATATTTGCAGCAGGAATTAAAGTTGGCGTGTTAATTTTTTTTGCGGTTTCTTTCACTGAGATCAGATCAGTCATCAACTTGCAGATGACAGCTCCGTTAATATTTTGGCTGTGATAATTGCTGAGAATAGAGGCGATGTTGCCAGACACTTTGTCCGTTTCACGCTGAAATTAGTAGATTTGGATACGAAATATATTCAAGAAACACTTCATTGAGAGATTTTCAATGGACAGTAAAAAACGCCACATGTGTTTCACTACACAATAGCTTCCTCAGACGTGTACAGACCTGTATATATTTATTCGTAGAAAAGTAGATTGAATAAAAATAAACATTCATTCAATCTATTTCTGAAACGGACATCCATCGAGTACCTCAACAAGTTGGGAAAAATATTCTTGTGGTTAAGATAATATTCTAAGTACCACGGTGGTTCCACCTGCCTGACACAATCAAATGAACATCAGTTCTCATTTTATTTGCAACAAAAATCTGGTATTATTCATTGAAATTGAATACAAAATTTGTCGATTTTTTAAACCATTTCTAAATCACCATGTTGGAGATCTGGCAACGTAGTTTCACAGTCGAACTTTTGATGAACTTGCGAATCTCTCTTCCCCAATAAATCTGTATATTAGATGGTTTTGATAGATTAGTAGGACTTGTGTATAAAAAGGCAAGTTGGCAAATTTATTGGTACAGTAAAAGAAAAGAAACATCATGAAATCCATCATAGTCTTTGTGGTCCTAGTGTCCGGTTCTTTGGTGAGTAATTATGATTTGTAATTATAAATGAATGAGAAATTATTTGAAATTTTTTATTGTTCCATTATGGTAATAACAGTATCCCATTATTGTCATTATCTGTTTCTGTTTGAAATATGTTTTTCCGTTAACCATCGTTAATGTCTCTTCAATTTCGAATATTTTTTTATCAGCAACAGACTAACAAATCTGTAAATCCATTTTCGATTCTATGATCAGAGTTTACTCCTCTTCACTTGTAGTGTTGAGCAAACATTTTTGTGTAAAAAATCTGTAGAAGAATTACTGAAATCATAGCCATCAACTTATCTGATATTATCAATATTTCTTTCATGGAATTTTGTTGAATCATATTTATTACTAAATTTGTTTTGAGGTTAATTCTACAAGTTTTGTTAACCAGAGGATGCTTTGTTTGTCGTGAAAAAAATCTTCATTAAATAAAACACGTCATAATTTAAACTTCTTCGATTGACGACTTGTTTATTTTGTGGAAATTCATGTTCACTGAGGATACACTACAAAAACACACTTTTGTCTATTTTCCACTATATTTCATTAAAGAAATATAGTAGAAAATAGACAAAAGTGTGTTTTTGTAGTGTATCCTCATAATTTAAACCTGAAGTAAACGTTTCGGGCCATTTATTATCGAGGAAACAAGAACACTGATGTGAATATTTTCCAAATTATTCAAAACTTGGTGAAAAACTAACGCCATTTATTGAAATATGAATTTTCAGATTTTTTTTAAATTTATGGATTTATGTTGGATAATTTTCTTTCAAAGGTTGGTACTTTGAGACACTTCCTCTGGAAAATTTCCACTCTTGGAAAAGTAGGAAGCAAAAATGTTTGCTACGAAAAAAATTTCTTTAGAAATATATCTCTTTCACTACATGTAAAAATATAAGAAAATTTGATTCAATCTGGGAAGGATTTTTTGCTGCTTGAGGGATTTACTCCTAGTTTCCTTTGAAGGCTGGCCCTTAGAACCACTTCCTCTGTAAATTTTCCAGTCATAATATATTGATCTGAAAGTAGAAACCAAAAAAAATACAGCCTCTTCAAAAAAAAAATCCATTTTTCACTGCATGTGATCTAGAATGTTGTTTGCTACTTCAGGCATTCACTACAATTTTCTTTTGAAGGCTAAACCACTTTCTCTGGAAATTTTTCACTCGCAAAATATTGATGAGAAAGTAGAGAGCCAAAAAGATTTTCTTAAAAAAACCAGCCTCTTCAAAAATATCCATCTTTCACTGCATGTGAAGGTATAACCAGAATTTGATTAGTTCTGGGCTAGATTTGCATTGCTGTTCGAAATGTTCACTTCTTTTTTCTTTTAAAGGCCGGTCGTTTGAGCCACGAGAAAAAAGAGAAACTATTTTCCTATCACCAAGGCTGCGTATCAAAATCAGGCGTGGACAGAAAAATTATAACTCAGATGAAACAGGGAATGAGATCAGAAGATCCCAAATTCAAGGAATACCTGCTTTGCCTCTCGCAGAAATTTGGCTTCCAGAACGAAGCAGGAGAGTTCCAAAGAGAAGTGATGAGGGAAAAACTCACCCAGTATGCAAGGAATGCGTCCACTGTGGATGCAGTCATGGAGAAGTGCGTAGTACAAAAAGACTCTCCAGTGGAGTCTGCCTACCATTATTCAATGTGCCACTATGATATTTGTCGGGATCATGGACCTTTGTTCTATGTAAGTATGATTTATAGTTGCTTGAGTAGAATCAGAAATTTCTTCTTTCCACTCCATCTTTAGTGGACATTACTTTTATAAAAATTCGTTACAATTTTCAGGTGATCAACATTTCCGAGAAGAAGAAGGCGATCTTCCACAGCTACCAAAAAGACTGCGCCGCAGAATCTGGGGTTAACTCCACCATTTTGGAAAACGCGCAAAAGGAGATTTTCGAAGACGACCCCCTCTTGAAAAAGTACGCCTTCTGCTACTCCAAAAAAATGGGCTTCCAAGACGAAAATGGGAAAATCGACGAGCAATCGTTCAGAGGAAAACTGAAGGAACTGGTAGAAAACTACGATGAACTCGAGAAGCTTGTCAGCACCTGCAATGTTGAGAAAGATAATCCAGAAAATACTGCTTATGAGTTCTTCAAGTGTTTTTTGCAAAATTCCCATTTCAACGTGTACACTGTGAGTAAATCATTCATCATTTTTGGAATTATTGATCCAGATGATCCAGGAGGGGGTCTTTGTAGCTCCGCCGAACCTCCTGGACTACTTACCTCATCCCCAGTCCCTCCTGCTGATATGATTTGATGCTGTCCTGATAAGATCTATAACATATTCCAATCCCATTAGTCCACTATTGTGGGATATTATAAAAAACAAAATGCTTCACATCGTCAAGAATTTCCCAGGAAGGAGCCTTTGTAGCTCCGCCAAACCTCCTGGATTACTGACCTTATCCCCAGTCTTTCCAGCTGTATTGTTTTGCTGATGTCCTGATATGATCCATAACATATTCCAATTCCATGAGTCCACTATTGCGGGATATTTCAAACAACATAATGCTTCATATCGTCAAGAATTTCCCAGGAAGGAGCCTTTGTAGTTCCGCTGAACCTCCTGGATTACTGACCTTATTCCCAGTCTTTCCAGCTGCATTGTTTTGCTGATGTCCTGATATGATCCATAACATATTCCAATTCCATAAAATTTCATTATTGTGGCATATTCCAAACAACATAATGCTTCACATCGTCAAGAATTTCCCAAGAGGGAGCCTTTGTAGCTCCGCCGAACCTCCTGGATTACTGACCTTATTCCCAGTCTCTCCAGCTGTATTGTTTTACTGATGTCCTGATATGATTCATAACATATTCCAATTCCATCGAAGTTTATTATTGTGGGATGTTCCAAACAAACTGATGCTTCACATCGTCAAGAATTTCCCAGGAGGGAACCTTTGTAGCTCTGTCGAAACTTCTGATTTCTGGTATCTGTAGAATAGGGAGGGTGAGTGTAGACTCACAGCACTTAGGTCATATGTGACCCATTGTACATCCTCCCGAGGAGTTGTCCTCCTAGGTCATCGTCCATCCTGTAGGTCAAGACTCGTCGAACACACACTCTCTTTGGCAACCTGGAGGTGTCTCACGGTGGCCTCCGCAAAGGTTTTGGAAGATGCAGCGATATTACTGTTGTTGCGCGGCTTCTGCAACCGTCTTGGGGTTTCCTTCATGGAGATGCACAAGTGAGGGAGCTTTCCTGCCGGGGCAACCGGTTTCTTGCCTTTATTCAAGGCGGAGCTCTTGGCGCCCGCTGCAGGAAGTGCCCTTACTGTTGGAGATGATCTGCTATTTCCAGCCTCATTCATTGGGATGAACATTTCTGTTCATCCTCAGCCACTGCCTTAGATTGAGGTGAGCACTTCTTTCCAGTCAGGGGATTGGTTTTTTTTTTTTGTTATTTCTGTTGTTTCTGAGTAGCAAGGGAAGAGTTGGTCACCTCTGGCAGAGCCCCGCATTACCAGAGGAAGGCTGTTCGCAATGAGGTTTCACTCAGTTCCTCAAGGGGTTCGTTTACCCTGCGGCCATTCAGCTGTCGGCACGATTAATTACAACTTAGCTTGGGTAGGCTGGTCCATGGTGGCGTATTTTGCAAAGGCTCTTGGTGGGTTTCAGTTTCCCTCACCCTACTTATTTCTGCCACTGACCAGGAGTCCGGCGACCTCGTCCGTAAGGTCACATTGGCTTCCCGGACAGGGCCTCCAATCCCCTGGCCGTTCACCTGGGGACTCGCTCGATAGGTAGCCCAACCCACGGGGAACCTTCTAGATTACTAACCTTATCCTCAGTCTTTCCCGCTGATATGTTTCGTTGATGTCCTGATGAGATCCATACCATATTCCAGTTCCATCAAAGTTGTCATAGGATGATATCATAACTTCGTGTGATGAAAAATATAAGGAGGAAACACACGATGTACACTACGTATTGTGTTTTGTAGACAAAGAGCTTTGAAATTGAAATACCGTGACAATTCATAACGAATTGTATCAAGTTCCAGTCCAATCTATGAATTCCTTGCAAATTGCAAATAACTTATGGCGGGTAGGTTGTCGTCGATTGTCATCATTGGAAGTCGTTGTTCCACTTGATGTGAAACAAACCCCATACATATCGTGTGTGTCTGCGAGTTGACAAAAACATTTTTTTTATGAAATTCAATTTTATCATTCAATAAAGTTGGCTTCGCGGGGGATTCAAAGATTATAGTAAGATTTTTCTTACATCTTCGTCGGTGCTAAATTTCTTTCCCGCGAGCATTCTCTTGATGTCCTATAACAGGAAAAAGTCTCTGGGGGCCAACTCTAGAGAATACGGTGGATGCGGAAGCAACTTGAACACCAATTCACGCAATTTTGCCATCGTTATCATTGATTTGTGATACGGGGCATTGTCTGAGGATTTCTGTATGATTTCTCTGTATATCCGCATCCATTCTTTTTCAATGCGCTGTACGTTGTCCTTTGACACAGCACAATATTTTTTGTTTGTATTATTTTCAACTATCAATGGGGCTAGATATTCGAAAATCTATTTAAATAAAATATAAATCAATTACTTCCTTTGACGCACTTTCGCTTCGCGAAATAACAAAGACAAATTGAATAATTATTTGAAATACCCAGCAATGTTATTTTGAAAAATATACAGGGCTATTAGTAGTATTACTAACCAAGAACTTCTTATGACTCTAATAAGGACGTCTTTAAGCTTTCAAAACTTGATTCCAAATATATCTTGAATACTTAGCTTCCGTTTTGTCGTACTGACATCTGTAGTACATTTCGGGGAAGTCCCAAGAAGTCAGGAAATGGGTACCAAAATGGTCATCGTGCTATATGTGTAATATTCAAAATAATTTAATAAATTTTCAAACTATATCACTGCCAGTGGCAAATACATTACATATTTAGAATAGAAATTAAATTTATATTTGATCTCAAGATTGTTTTGCATCGTAACATTTCAACGTGTATAGAACAATTGAAATTGTACCATCTCACTTCTCTACAAGGGAAAAAAGGTTATCATTATTGTTATTATTTCAGGTTACGAATTGATTGGACCGAATGGAGAAACAGCAACTGGCTATGAAGATTTCCAAGTAGTTATCTAAGAGTTTGAAGCTCATATTACAATACGTACCTATTAAGATTGATAATTTATTTATATAAGGTATATTTATTTATTATTTTTACATTTTCTCTTCATGAATAAATATTATTCAATTGAAATTGGGTTTCAATATTTTCTATCAATCAAATCGTTGCTTTGGTAAAGTGTTAGGCGTACTCTCAGTAACTGTATCTTGTCTTTACTGTTTCAATCGATGAAAATTAACGAGTATTTTGATTATTCAATATTCTGTCCCAAAAACTGACCTCAATGACTGCTATGGTTATTAGACTCGTGTTCTGGGTAGTAATGTCATGAATTTCTCGAGCCACCTAGGAAGCTTAAGGGATTTTCAAAGTTCTGTAATTGTTGAAAAATATTTGATTTGTAGATAAACTGTTAGTTTTATGATAATTATTTATCGAACGAAGAATCACAAGAAGTTATTTTTTTCTTGTCGTTATTTAGGCAAAGTTGAGAGTGCAGATTTAATCTGATTGAGAAAAAACGATCATTCTTGTGAAACGAATTCAAAGGTAGATGAAAGGTTCAGAAGATTCAGGAATATAGTCATATTTTGGCACAGGAAACTTTTAAAAAACGAACTTTTAGGTACTTTGTTTTTGATTTATGTTTGAGAATGACACCTTTTCAAAATAATTACATAATCATTACATATATCCATCTGTCATAGGAAAGAACGTTTGCAATTTTATGCAATCTCAACTGGAAATCATTTGAAGGTGCTGCTTCAATATTGAACATAACATTGAAATTACTTTTTCATGTCTTCGATGACAAATTTCTATATACGTTTTCTGTGTTAAAGTATCCATGTTAGTACAGCGCTCCTTATGAATTCAATTCTTTGAATAATCCCACAGAAAAATGTCTAGAGGACTTATATCAGGAGACATAGGGAGATATTGAATACCGCGAAACGTTCTTATCCATTTATCATTGAACAACACCACCAGAAGCTAATTGAACCTCTAAAGATATAAGTAGATGCTCCAACTTATTGGAAACAAAAACGGTACCAACCTCTCTACAGACTCTACCCAGACGCTCTTCTTGAAAATGTTATTCTGATCATTGGAGTCTTTGGTGGTCTGATCTCCTACTTTATTTCAAAAATTAAAAATTATATTGGCTTGCCACGCTAAGGCAGAAATTTCAGCCGCCGGACTAATGCAAAAGGCTGTCATTCTTCGTTTAATGTGTCGATTCTCGACGTAGTATGGCCAGTGGCCATTGTTTCTTATATGTATCGGGAAGGACCTGACCATCCTAACCCCTTTAGTAAAAAATAATATGAAACTTATAATGATAATATGCTGCAGTCTCAGTCTATATCCATCGACATAACGCGGTGATTTGTTAGAGCCCGCGATACTTTTACGGGATTGACCAGCCACAGGTGCTGTCCTACGCTCCGGAGGATATTGAATCCGTGTAGGGAACGAGAAGTGCCGAATTCTTAGAAACAATTCGTTTTCACCCTCAGGCTCATACAAGCTAATATGCCTGATGTAGTTCTTCTCGACCATCAGGGCAAGACGATATTTATCGTGGAGTTTTCAGCTCCTAGCGTGACAAATATCATGCGAAAAGAGGGGGAAAACGGATGTAATATCGAGATTTTTTCTCCTAACCGTATTGCTGACTCTTTAGCCAAGGAAGCGGATGGACTAAGAATTTTAGGACCAAGGGAGATCTACGGCCTGATGACTTCGACAATTGAGGAACAAGTCAAACGTCACTCTCATGCTCAATCCCTAAAGAGGTGGGATGGAATCAAAGGATGTAGTCTTGTCAGGATCACCCTGGGCGACCCTGGAAGGCTGGCGCCGAAGAAATATCTGGCGATGACCAGGAAAAACCTAATAAGAGGGTGTGTGTTCGGTGAGTCTTGACCTACACCTGCCGATATGATGGAGATGTCTTCTAGTGACCTGTCCACCTTCCTGGAAAGGACCCTACGGTGTGGGTCCCAACCAGCGCAACTTTCTTTTAAAACAATATTTTTATGCATCAATGTTTTATTAAACTTAATAACACATAATATGTTCATCTCCTTTCTGGTAACTTATCCCTGGCTACCCCTTATTATCCCGAACATACACCGATCCATATCCAGGGCAGTCTGACCAGGAGAGCCACTCTGCACAGCGCAGGTATCCACCATATCCTGCGCATTCATGGAAGTGGGTAGGGCAAGTTGAATAGTGGAAGCGATAACACTTTTCTGCAAGTTTCCGTTCTGATCTTGGAAACCCAGCTTCTGGTGGATGCAGAAAAGATGGTTTTGCAGCACTGGGTCGTTGGGAAACTTGCCTGCTGCAATTCCCATGGCTACGTTGTCAGAGATCCCTGTTTTCCTTTGGCACTCCTTGTGGTAGCGCATCAGGGTGGCCAACTGGTTTGGTGGTATCATCTAAAAGGTAGAATGAGAGTATTATGATGATGATAAATGATTTTATTGGACGAATCCTCACAATGGAAAATAAAACAGAAGTAGCATTGAAAAATGACTTACCAAAGGGCTAAATTACATATAAAACAGACAAATGGGTTTACGTTTCACTAAAGGCTACTGTGTTGTTGTTGGTTTAAGTCGGAGGGGGGTTGCCATAGAAATTTGAAATGGGCATACATTGCTCTACATTTTCAATTAATATTTCCTTTTTTTTTTCTAGTGATAGTAGGTACACCTACGATATCAATGGAAAATTGTATGTGAGAAGCTCAGATGTATTTCTTGAGTTATTTGCACATGAACATTTATCAGAATCAGTAATGCCAATTTTGGCTAGTTGTGAAGGAAAGCAACCATCATTTAATTTGGATCTACTGATGGTAGAGCAATATGATTTTGGTACCCTGAATTTTGAAATGTGAGGAGTATCCTCTGGTAGTGAGGCATGAAGGAAGAGGGATGAGGGTTGTTGCTCGAAGGAAAAATTCTGCCATCTTTTTTTCCACTGTTCTTTTTGTGAAGTTTTCACATAACTGAATTGATCTTAATTTGCGAAGAGATGGGAACCAGTGAAGCTGGTGAAGCGGGATTGAGGGAACCAGTGAAGCTGAAAATGGAAGGCGAGGATAAGTGAAAGTACTCGAACGACCTATAAATAGTCATCTCGTCGTGAACTAACGTGACTTGGAATCTCTCCACTTTTTATTTTTATTTTCTTTTTTCATTTCTTTATTTTTATTCATTCAATTGTTCTATTTTTACTTGTATTTTTTTTAACTATTATTTCATTTCAGGTTTATTTTGTTTAATATAATTGTTATTTTCAGCTATTCATTTTTAATTCTGCTTTTTTAGTCGTTTTAGGGATTTCAAATAATTTTATATAGTAGACAATGGAAGTCCGAACTAGTGAAATTCATTGAGGTTGCATCTTTAGCTGCTTTATCAGCTATTTCATTACCCCTAATAACTGCATGTCTTTTGGTCCAGATGAAGGTAACATTGACATGCTGATTTGATAATCTACTTGATTTCCTTCCTTCCCTCTTTATTGGTCGCTGCTTCCTATTCAGGCGCAATTGGGTCCAGCTCAATACCTGGGGAAGGACCGATTTCGCGTCGGTTATCAATACGGCACTTTTAATGCTTTCTTCAGCAATTCATAGCAGAGCTTTCTCCAAAGCTACAGCTTCTGCTGTATAGATAGAGCTGAAACCGTATTTTGTGCGTAAATGCATCAAAATCACATTGGAAAATTGGTCTGACAATCATCACATAAATACAATGGATTTGTTTGGGACCTAAACCCCAAGTTTTACCACAAATCCTTCGAAATGTCCATAGAGACAGTCTGGCTTTGTGTAAAACTTTTTTAAGTGAGCGTTCCAGGTGAGTCTTTTATCAAGGACAATGCCAAGATATTTCACCTCCGTTCCAAATGAAATGACCACACCATTGAGGAAAAGTGGCGTTAGATTCTCCAATTTTCTCCTCCCAGTGAAGGGAATTATCACAGTTCTGCTGGGATTGACAGACATCTGCTTCCTCAGGCACCATCTGTGAACAACGTCCATCGTGCTTTGGAGGATATCAAACTAGTGAAATTCATTGAGGGAAGTTGCATCTTTAGCTGCTCTATCAGCTATTTCATTACCCCTAATAACTGCATGTCCTTTGGTCCAGATGAAGGTAACATTGACATGCAGATTTGATAATATATTCAAAGTTTTTCTAATGTTACATATCAGTTCGTGTTTGAGGTTCATTTGAAAGTAAAGGAACGATTTCCTTCCTTCCTTCCTTCTTTATTGGTCGCTGCTTCCTATTCAGGCGCAATTAGGTCCAGCTCAATATCTGGGGAAGGACCGATTTCGACTCGGTTATCAATACGGCACTTTCAATGTTTTCTTCAGCAATCCATAGTAAAGCTTTCTCCAAAGCTACAGCTTCTGCTGTATAGAAAGAGCTGAATCCGTATTTTGTGCGTAAATGCATTAAAATCACATTGGAAAATTGGTCTGACAATCATCACATAAATCCAATGAATTTGTTTGGGACCTAAACCCCAAGTTTTACCACAAATCCTTCGACATGTCCATAGAGACAGTCTGGCTTTGTGTAAAACTATTTTCAAGTGAGCGTTCCAGGCGAGTCTTTTATCAAGGACAATGCCAAGATATTTCACCTCCGTTCCAAATGGAATGACCTCACCACTGAGGAAAAGTGGCGTTAGATCCTCCAATTTTCTCCTCCCAATGAAGGGAATTATCACAGTTCTGCTGGGATTGACAGACATCTGCTTCCTCAGGCACCATCTGTGAACAACGTCCATCGTGCTTTGGAGGATATCACAACCTAACTTTGAAGAGTCGCAGTTGCAGTTCTGGTTACTAGCATAGCATAGATCCGTCCAGTTATGGTCGATTCTATACCTATACCAACTGGGTGGTATATATTTCAAAGCCAATTTTATGAGAATAGGTAAAATCATTTCCAGTCCGTTTTGAAAAAGAGCTGGAAATATACCATCCTTTCCAGGAGGACGATATTTCTCGAAATGTATGTTTCGAGAAGCATTGTAGAAAATAAATATTTGATCCTTACTGATAGAATGGAAACTGAAACTAAATGCTCACCTGTGAGAAGACGAAGGAAACGAACACAAGAAATATCAGAATACAAATTCTCATTTTTGATCAATTTTTTCAGGTTAACGTCAAAAGCTGTTAACAGAACACAGAAATCAAGTAAAAATGAACTGTGCGAAAAAACGCATTTATTCAAGTTTGACTTTGAAAAATAATGTTTATAATTATTTTATCATTAATGAAGACTGGTATTTTGTTAGAGAGGGAAGCTATAATTACCAATCTCTTCGACCATGATGAATTCGGATTATAACATTTATCCATTGATTATACAATACTTGAGCATTATCATTGAAATGAACAACGAACATTCAACAATGTAAAATTTCATTGCAGTTTCAATCTCATACAATGTTTATTAGTGACTGATCCATCGATAAAAATGAGATGTATGTTATTTTCCGATAGCATTTAGTAAAAATCAGTTTGAACTTATCACATTCACTGATTGGCTAACCAGGATTGAATGATTGAACTGAATGCAACTGGCCGATAAATGACTAAAATCTACAGACTAGTGAATGTTCTATTTTCGGATTTGAATTTCAGTAAAGAACTGAATCTAATAAAACAGATCGCGATCAACATTGGTTACGACAGCAATGTCAACAGATACTTTATTACCCAGATATTGAATACAATTCCTTTTGAGCAGGCAGGTTTGCGCTCTAACAGAAACTGCACGGATCATGTCCTATCACTAACCTCATTCATAGAAGCATATTTCTAGAATCAGCTGAAAACAGCAGCCGTCTTCATAATACTTCAAAGATATTGAAGTCACCGAGGATATCCTAACAAACGACCTGCTGGCTATCGAGCAATACATTCGCAAGGTGGAGACTAAAACCAATTGCTGCTAAGACAGAGGACTCTAGTTTCTAACTGAACAACAAATCAGCCAATAGAGAACTGCAAATCTACTTTGAAGACATGCTACTTTAACACAATAAACAACCTGAATACCTAGGGGTTACACTAGACAGAACGTTGAGTTTTAGAGAACATCTATCGAAAATAGCAGCTAAGATCAAAACGCGTAATAACATCCTCCAGAAACTATGCGGCACCACTTAGAAAGCTTCAGCCTCCACACTGAGATCTTCAGCCCTGGGCTTGGTATATTCAACAGCTGAATACTGCGCCCTGGTGTGGGTTAATAGCGCTCACGTTGGCCTGGTTGATGTCCAGCTCAACCACACAATGCGGCTTATTACAGGTAACACCTACTTTCTGGCAGGGATTTGTGTGAGGAGTTCTGTGCGTTTGCTTTATGCCACAATTATTACAGTCCATTTTTTATATTTTTTCGAGTATTGGAAGACGCGACAGATACCTTCTTGAACATTCAAAACGAAAACCGAATCTATAGAAAAATATATTGAAAAATCGTACAAAGCTCTTTACGTATATGAACATGAAATAACCCACACTGAAATCCCACAAAAAACTTCACGTATCACTAGTTCCGCCCCCATGCGTGGCGTTCTTCAGTTGCTCCTCCAAAAACTGGATCCTTCTTCTGAGCTGCTCGTTTTCCTCTGCCAAACTTCCATTATCATATCCCTCGTGGCCCAAATCCTCCCTCGCTCCCCTGTAGAAGTTCTCCAAGTTTATGAATTCCTTAACCTGGGCCATATGCATATCCAGCAATAGAGCCCTCAGCTGATAAGTTGTGTGGGTCGCCTGGTATTTGATGTCAGCCTTCAGTTCGTTGAGAATACCTGTCGGAAAAAAGGAGAGTTTAAATCACATCACGTTATTTGGTCAACTAAAAAATAATACGGATTTTACTGAGCTTATGACAAATAATGGTCCTTCGAGCTAGACTGCACAATATTTTGGATCTACAGTTATTGATTGAAATGGAATTTTGTGGTAATCAGTTTGTCATTTATTAAAACTTGAGAATCTCATATTTGAAGTTCATTTTACAAGATTTAGAAAAGCGAAACTATCACGAGTTTTGGTTGAACTATCAGAAAATGTATCTTTTAAACTGCCCGAATAAAGATAAACGTCTCGTAATTATATCAAAAATGTCAAAGACTAAAGAGACTATAGCAGGATTGAACATAAAGGAAATATTGTGATTTTTTACTTATTATCGTGTTTTTTTTTCATCCAAGATTTTGTGCTATTCAAGCTCTTTCCACAAAGTTCTGATACCATAAAGGGCAGGTGGGAGGATCATAGTTACGACAGCACCGGGGGGTCTGGAGGCTCCCAGCCACACCCAGGCATTGATACAGTCGCATGTGGTCGTGGTAGGTGTACGGGAAATCATTCCACCCCTCGGCCACACTAACCTGGCCCCACTTGAGCTTCCTCCCGCTAATCAAACCTTTACATCCAAAGCCGTGGCCAGGCGTGAGGACAGAACCTTCGGTTGCGTTCGACCTAGTACCGACCAGACCAACTATGCTCATATTTCCACAGATAGAGCGCTCTGGTGGCACACCTGCTTCTGCTGACCCGCCAAGTCTAGGCACATTGTCCCTAGAAATGGCATGCTGAGTATCTGAAGTCGGTTCTAGTAGCTCCGTCCACCCGAACCCAACACCTCGAACGTTTACTTTAGTGTCCTCTACGGCTATAGTATAACAATTTTCAATTGAATATAACTCATATACAAATTGAACTGAGAGCTAATGGCAATAATCGTAAATGTTAGAACTAAATTCCTACCGGGATTATTTTTATTGTCTAGGCATCGCCATTGTAAATAATTGGAAAGTGAGATGATTCCATAAAATTTGCCCCCCTAACAAGATAGCTTCTGCATATCGATAGGATGTACGAGCGAATAGGTGAACCAGTTCGTTAAATACTTTGAAACATCGGTAAACTGATCAACACTTCGCAGGTCTATTATATTTTCGTCCTTAAAATGCCATAACTAGTCCTTCGGTTTATAGTTTCTAGTTAGATATTAATATTTCAAAAAGTAAAATAAATCACAATGTACGTAGAATTCAGTTTGTTAGTGAACACGTTTGAGAAAGCTACTGTGCAGCGAAATACGTGTTGCGGATTTGTTAGTTTGTTCTAGTGAAAATCTCACAATAAAGTGTTTTTCAAAATACATCAACTTTAAAATAGTTTGTGATTGAATTTTTTTAATTTTATAGTATTAAGATTGATGCCGTAGCAGGTCTAAGTAATGTACAAAGAAAGCGGGAGTTTATGTCGTTAGAAGAAAAACAGATTGTCTGTAGAGTGTACGAAAATTTAAAAAATACACCCCGTACAGTGGAAACTGTAGCCCAGTGTTCATTTTTAACGGGAATATCCGTGTCGACAATTGAACGCAATGTACGTGAAAAAAAGGTGACTGGGATTGTGCAAGCTCCAAAAGTACATTGTCGTGGTAGAAAAAAAATTGAATTGGACGAGTATCAGAAAAATTTTGTAAGCTATACCATTCATTCTTACTTTTTTGAGAATAAAGCGACGACCCTCGAATCCATTAGGACAAAGGTAATGGATAATGATCTCATTCCAAAAATGAGCAAAGAGAAGGAAAATAATAAAAGAATATTTAAAATTTATATAGCCAAACGATCCCGTAAATCTGTCTTAATAGAAAGAGAAAATATAGTTTCATGGCGACGGAGATATCTTCGCTCTATTATAGAGAAATGCGTTCTGCTCACAAAAAGATTTATTATCTGGATGAAACGTGGGTGAATGCTGGTCACACAGTATCTAAGATCTGGCAAGATACTACTGTAACTAGTTATCGTCAAGCATTTGTGGACGGTTTATCAACAGTGTTACGCGAACCAAAGGGGAAAGCGCAACGACTAATTGTCACCCAAATAGGTAGCGAGAGTAGCTTTTTAGACGATGGTACACTCATTTTTTTATCCAAAAAAACGGGGGATCATCACGAAGACATGGACGCCCAACGCTTTGAAGGATGGTTTGAATCCCTTCTTTCACGAGTCGAGCCAAATTCGGTAATAGTAATGGATAACGCTTCTTATCTCAGCCGATTAGTAGAACAGTTGCCAACTATGACCACCAGAAAAGCAGACATGCAGAGTCAGTTAGGACAAAAAGGAATTCCATTTTCCAAGGCCATGGTTGAGGCCGAGCTTATGAGTGTCATTAAACAGCATCGTGGCAGATATACCCAGCATATGGTGGATATAATAGCTCGTGCTGAAAGCATCACCATTTTGAGACTTCCTCCTTACTATTGCGAGTCAAACCCGATAGAATTAATCTGGGCTCAAATTAAGGGTTACGTAGCTCCTGAAAACGTGACATATAAAATTTCTGATGTCCAACGTTTATTAGAACTCGCAATGGAACGGATACGGAAAGAAGATTGGGCTAATGCTGTAGCCCATGTGATCAAGAAGAGAAAATGTGGTGATTGAACGGGATGGTAGACACTGTTTTCGACCAAATAATAATACATTTAAGTGTGACTGGGGATTCCTCTTCGGACGAGTCAATGGATTCTGAAACTTCATAAGCATAACATAGGTAATTATTTCTTTGCTTTGTAGTTCTCCTTCTATGTAAAAGGAACATAATAATAATTTTGTAAATTTTTCTGTTTTTTTTTGAAGTACTGTATTAGGCATAATGAGAAAATGTATTCAGTTTCACCATTGACACCAGGAAGCGCCACCTACTATAACAATTTTTACGTAATTACTTATGTGTTTAAATGAATAAAAATATTATTTTGGTACGCCTCTGCATAGTTGGTGAGAGGATTATCCGTTGGTCACTTCAAGTGCGACGTTGCTAATGAATCACCTTCAATTGAAAATTGTTATAGTATAGACTCGGATACCAGGCTAGACTCCGATACTAGTGGACCGCAAGCCGCGACGTCTCGAACGATTGCATCTATACGAAAGCAAGCAGAAATCAAGGATCAGAGCAAGCTTTTCCGTGTCCCACTAAGGAGCTGGATGCACGCATCGTGTTCTTTTTCCCTGTTGGCGAATTACTGCCCCTAAGAGGCCAACGCCAATGGAGATGAAGATTCACTAGCCTCCAGCAACGAGTGGGCACTTCATCCCACTTAGATCATGTAGGGAAAGGTTTCTGTCCAACGTGTGATGAGTAACTGTCGAGGGCTCTTTCGAGCTACCTCTACTACACATCATACGCTGAAGACTTGCGCCTGTTAGATGTGTAGGTGCGTGATAGAGCGGTTAACCAACAACTTTTGGGAGTTCGCCGTGAGATCAACACCGTACACCCTTAGGTTACCCCAAGGGGCACTTATGTTAGGAAAGCTACCTTTGCAACGTTGAATGAGTAACTGTCTTGCGAGACACCTCTACCACACATCTAGCGTTCCCAATCACTATCCTGAAACCTAAAAATTTTGAAATGTGCAATAAATCATATCTCGCTTACCTTTCAGTTCTTCCTTAACAATACCTCGCACCTCATTGGCGCTAAGAGAATTAACAGCGGTCAACATCGAAGCTCCGTGGTTTACGACTGGAGACATCAAACTGTTTGGATTCAGCATCAACATCTTCGGCGTAGAAGCGAAGTGGTTCTCCTTGAAGTCCCCGGTATCCCTCCTGGCCGGCTTGGGCAAACTAGGCGAAGGCAGGTCCGCAATGCTGGGCAACCTCTCCCTGACCTTGAAGGCGCTATCTTCCTGCCTCATCGAGTCCGTGGTGTTGCTCTTGTCGAGCCCGAGAGCGGCCATGAAAGAATCGCCGCCCTCCATGGAGACCACTGATCTCTTGTCCTCGTCTACGGAGTCAACGTTGGGGACAAAGTGGCCGAAGAAGTCGCTGGCCCGGCCGCCCTTGCTTTGCCGGTTTCCGTTAGTCTCGGAGGGGGTGGCGGGGGTATTGCTGTCGGTGGAGATGCTGCAGGTGCTAGAGTTTGCTATCTCTTGTACGTTCTGGAAGGCTAGGTGCTTCACTGCGCTCTTGTGTGCCTGAGAGAAGTATGAGTGTAGATCGTTTTAATGTAACAAAAAACCGTGGGAAAATCTGTCAACTTAGAGAGGGGATCGGACTATTGCAATAAATAATAAACTAGCCTACTCCGATTTGAGTAGTTTGTTCGAAAAACATATTGGGGAGGAAATTGAGGACATTCTTGACACTACTGAGAAATTCTACACAAGGATCTTGCAGGTTCAAAGTGTTATTTCAAGAACTCATGAAGGTAGTTATACCTAGTAGGCTTAGGAAAATGGTTAGACAACTCTTAAGTAGAGCAGAGAGTAGGAAAAATGAGATAAATTAGTTAAACAACAACGGTTAAATGATTACATAATTACTCATCACCAACATGGTTTCCCTTAAGAAGGGAAGTTGAACTGGAAAAAATAAAAAAAACACATCAAATCCTTCTTGTCTCACCTGGAAGGAATGTACCGGCTCCTGAATATTCCTTGAATCGTAGATAAAGACCCTGCCGTTCTGCGAGGCCATGACGAAGTAAGTACCATCAGGAGAGAAATCCACAGCAGTCATGCTGTTCTCCACGGCTACGCTAGCGATGCATTTGTTGTCCACAATGTCGAAAAAACAAAACTGCCTGTCAGACCCGGTAGAAACAATCAAGTCCGTGTTGACGGGGGAGAACGCCACGGCGTTGACAGGCGCCTTATGTGCCTCCATGAAAAACTTGCTTCTGCTGACGTTGATGTCCCAAACGACCACAACGCCTTCATTGCTACCTCCCAGGACCAGCTGGCGCTTGGCCAGGCTCGTCTTCAAGCAGTTAACGGAGCCGGACTTGGGAACCCTTAAGATACTCGGCGGACTGTTGGTGATGTTGCCATAGACCAGCACTTCCCCATTCTTGCACCCCGCCACGCAGTGGGTGTCCCTTGCAGTGAAATCTACGTGCGTGATCTGGCTGGAAGCCCTCGGAAACCGCTTCTTGGTGCTTCTGGACTTGACGTCGTAGATCAATACGAGCCCGCTTTTGGTGCCAAGGGCAATATTCTTCTTCGTCGTGTTCTGAAAGCAGGCGCAGGTCGGTTCCTCGATGTCCTGAATGGTTTTCAGCAGCTTCAGCTGGTCTTTTGTGCTGACTATTTCGGTGACGCCAGAGTGAGGAACCAAGACTAACCAGGTGCCATCACGACTCCAGGAGATACTCCGGATGGGGCCTTCGACTTTTGAGCCGGGTTGGTAGTTGTGGACGACGTTGCCGGAGGGGAAATCGTGGAATTTGACGGTCGTTGAGGCTGATGCTACGTACATGGCTGCAACAGGGATTGTTTGTATTTTAACAGTTCAGACGATATTCTAGAAAATGATTATATTTAACAATTTCTATATATTCAGATATTTTTTTTAAACGTTATATAAGTATTGAACGTTATACTGAACTGTATCTTAGAAGGGTTAATAATGCCTCATTTGCAATACATATTTTTCAACTGTTCTGTATAGTAATCAACAAAACAATTCATTTGGGTTGATAATATGTAAAATACTGTTTATTTAAACACTTTTGACCCCCATTCCTCGAAAAAATACTCTGAATACGCCCCTGCTTTTGTCAATGAAGCATTTTGGGACCTCTATAAATATGAAATAACGATAAAAGTTGCTGCTGAAAAATGGCTGCCAATCTATTACTACAAACAGAAAATTTATTAGTGAAAAAAAAAATAGAGTAATATATGAACAACATTAAAGCCAAATTTTCAACACATAACAGTAGTTGTTTCAAAAATGTGTTGTTTCCAGTTTGTATCTGAAAGCGAAATACTGTTTTCACAAAAACCAATCTCTCCTAGTACATTTCCTTTTCAATTCAAGTAAAAACAGACCAACGTCTTGAGTTCAATTAGGATGGAGCCCAGCTCCCTTACCCTATCGGCTGATTTTTGTCGAAGAAGGACAAGACAAGGACAACGTAATCCATCTTGATTTTATTCAGGTTGAAGCCTGGCTCCCTTCCTCTTTGAACTGAATAGACAAGGACAAGTTAAGCTTATTTTCGTAATCAAATAAATAGAAACAATTTTCTTCGCAGTACACAAGTATCGCTATCTACGAATGAATCGCTGAAACTACGAAGAAACAACGTACAGATTTCAATTAGAAACTTTCAGAGACTTCACCGTCATCTATGGGTGAGTAGCCACACTATTTAATTGGAGTGTGAAATGGCGACAACGTCTAACCACAGTAGAATACTGTCACCTAAAATATGTGACGTGTCAATTACAAACAGTGTTGCCGATGTGATGATTAAATATTCCTACTTCTTAAATTCTATAAAAAAATCCGATGGATGATCCCCTTTATGAATGAAAAACTGAAAACAATTGGTGAGTCATTCTTGAATGGTCAGATGACACTTTTAGGGAGAGGAATAGTTATTTACGAATGAGTTGTGTGTAGTTTGGGAAATGAAAACAATTCTGAAATGAAACCTTGATACATTTCTAATGTTATGTGGCAACAGTGCGACTTCATTATCAGATCGACAATTTACAATTATTGGTGGTTGGTGTTTTCATTTTGGCCACGTTAAAACGAAAGAAAACTAAAATAAAATTTGGTTCAATTTCTACCTAGAAAAAAATAAACAAGTGAGTACCAAAACTAGTTTTTAAGACTTGATAGTCTAATTTACTCTGGCAAACAATTCATACATGGGGGTTTTAGGTTAGGTTATGTTAATTTTGCTAACCGGATATGAAAATAAGTCATATTTTCCAATTTTTGTCATATAAACATAACGAGCAAACATTCTACTTCAAGAATATTGAACACTTTCAAAAAGTTATTTTTCTTATTCACTATGACTGAAAATGAATCTGTGCAATATATTTTATAATACTAGGAGTCTGCTCTCTTTATGTGTACTGTTTTCAATAAATAACTCTCAAGAAATGGACAAAATAATTTGAAAACCTAACCCTGAAATACCGTTACTATCACTAATGTCATTTTCCAAGATTGGGCAAAAATACTTGGAAAAAGTTAAAATTAAATTGACCTACCTTTGCTTTCGAAATTCTCACATAGATCTTATATCACATTACATACTCTTTTACTTTATTAAACGAAATTTTCTTCTTAGAAACTTTTTAAAACTATCACAGCACTACAGCAATTGACATTGGGACTAGTAGTGACACCTATGGAGCATTCCGAACACAAACTTGGTTGAAGAATCTCTTGTAGTAAACGTTGCCAAATGATATATTTTTGTATATTATTTGTGCAACTCACAATTACCCAGTTATAAAATAAGTAATCTTTGGATTGTTTTTGTAGTACATTGTTATTGCAATAGCTGTCCTTTAATGTGTTTTCTAGTATACAAATAAAGTTTTGTACTAACCAATATTTGAGGAACATAAAAGATATGAATTATTATATATGATTTATCCTAGTAGTACTTTCTAATTTTCATATTATTATTTTTATCTAGCTTCAACGTGATTTTTTTTACAGGATGGTGACTGACGTCCATTTGGCTGTTCTGTCCAATGCTTTGGGAATAGTACTCTTCCTTCTGGTGGTTCTTTTTCACTACGTCAACGCAAATTATTCCAAACAGTAATGAAGTTCTTTCTGTTCGTGATATATTTCTGTAAAAGTCCATTATTCATATGTAAATAAATGATTTTTTTCACCTAATTTTCCATGCATATTCCTGATGTTTTATTTTAATAGATAACAATCATCAACATTTTTAAATGGGTTTACATCAAGTCAAATTATAAATTTATGGAATAGCTCTCATTAGAAAGCTAGATTAAGTAAAACATTTACTTATTATTCATTCAAAATATAATATTTGGAAATTCAATCTGATCCTTATTAGTTTTACGATACATTTAATACTGACTGAATTTAAAACTTTTTGGAAAATTGTTTAATGAGTTTTCTGAAAACTATATTTTCCTCAAAATAGGTTCACTTTTCACTCTTTTATATTGGTTTGACAATGTCAAAATAACGTCTAGGAGAAACAAGTCTGTTTGTATTGAAGAAAAACAAGTAATTCCCAGTTTTCATGGTAATTTGGGCTAAAATAATTTTTTGTTTCATGTATTGATCAAAAAATATAATTTATTGCGACATCTCTGAAGGAATAACACAACTGTATTCAGTAGAGAAGTACACAGAAAGCTATATTTTATGTCTATTTGGACTTCTGAAATGTAGATGGCACAACATGTATCAAAATTCAATTTCGTATTCACAATAAAAATAAGCAGTCGAAATTCTGAATTCATTCACATTGAAATTTGACAAATGTTTTGTATTTATTTTTCATGTGAACATTCCGAAATGAGTTAGGTCAAACAAAGAAATATGAATTGCAATTCAAACTGCTATTCCTATTCCTCGTGGAATACACAAAACACAAGCACATTGGATTTGAATCGCTGGATTTGAATCCATTTGGAAAAAGAAGCGGAATACCTTACATAGTAAATAATAAAGTCACTCAAATCAAAGTTTATATTATTAATGGGCTTATCGAATCTGTCTGAATATCTTTTTAATAACCGCATTATATTTGTACTTTGAATATCAAATGGAACATTGAAATAGCTATACATAAAAGATATCCATATGGCATCTTCAACTCTTTTGCGGACCTATGAAAGAAGTACAATAGGGTGGCAAATCCTCCCCGTCTCCTCACAGATAACTTTGTTATATTTCAGTCAATTCTTACAAAATCTCAATGAATTAGTCAATCAAAATATTCTCTTGAATCATTTCGTCAATTGGTGAGAACAGTATAAAAATCTGTTCGGTAGTTCTTGAGTTTATCGCATTCAGATAGACAGCATACTTTAATTTTTAATTCGTAGTGACAATCAAAAACAAACATTATCTGTGGAGTCAAATCTGCTCCGAAGGACCACTTTTTCAAACGTCAACCTATAATCCCGACCTTTCGAACCTCAATCAACACCGAATTTCAATTGAGATATCTGCCGATAACCCATCAGCAGAGAAAATCTCAACGGATGGCCACGTGACCGGCAGAAAGAAGCTGCGACAGCTGGTCCATTAATTGGTATGCTAATAAATGATTAGCAGTAGGCCGTGCCACGTGCTCCAGAAGCCTACTGCGTGAAAGCACCTGTCATCGCCAACCAAGATTACCTATTTTCAACGACGAATCGTGAAACAATTAACGGTGTTTGTGTTTCCGGATAGGTCGACTGGAAAATTGAGTTCGGTGAGGCGGATTGGAAAAACATATCTCCAACAGACTAATATTTTTCAAACTTAGTTTTACATATGGCTTCTACATGTGTTTCGAAGAAAAATGATCCTTTCTGTACCTTAGAAAAGGACCTGTGATCAAACATTTTAAAGAACACGTCAACTTTTGTTTCGAGGAGGTACAGGTTTGATGTGAAATTCATATAAATTGATTCATTTGTTGTAAATAAATTCAAGACTGAACGTTTAAATTACGAAATCGAAACTTCAGTGGAGTTTCGAAATCAGCAACCGAAATTTCCTAACATTTCTCTGTCGCATCATTTAAGGATTTGCAGGATTGGTAGGGCTGATTATTATCAATGTAAGCGGACTGTATTTCCTGTGACACCAATCTGAATATCGTCTGTTTGCGTGATTTTCGTGAATGAAGAGAACAAATATTTTGAATTGAATCGATCTGTGCTTACCTTGAGATATTCAGCGACTGGTTTCGACTAATGTAGATTTTCCAGTTTCAAATCTCGCTGGAAAATATTGTTACTACCAAGACATTCCACAGCAACGACCATCTCGAGCATCAGGGACGTTTGTCCAGCGTTCTAGCAACTTGACTCTGCTCTCGCACTCCCAACCGTTTTTGACCGAATATCGTATACGAGGGGTGCGCGATATAGTCACAAATGGAAGCAAATACGTTAGTATTACGGCCTAAATATTGGAAGTCGAAGTACAAAAAATGCTTTCAGAAATTATCAGGTTGTGAAAAACGATAATGAATAGGCTTGTTTCATGCTATTGAAATGATACTAGTTTGATTATAGACTGATCGAGTTAGTGGTATATTATACTTATCGAGCTTAATCGGTCCCAATACCTCTTTATATTTGCAGAAAAAAGAGAAATTCGAGAAGCAAGAGTTTAAATTGGCCGCGTGTTTGTTGACCAATAAAATTGATCGTGTCTACAGCGGTGTTGTCAAGTGTCAATTATTTCAACAAAAATACGAAGTTATGAAACATTATAAAGACTACATTGGCTCATACATTCAAGAGAGATAGCTGACTGTGTGGCAATATGGCTAATATATGACGTTGAATTTCTTATTCGTGGGTGGCATGAATGCATAATTGATTTATTTTATTAGGGTTCATAAGCCTTCGAGAACCATTTAGGTACAGGTTTGATGTGAAATTCATATAAATTGATTCATTTGTTGTAAATAAATTCAAGACTGAACGTTTAAATTACGAAATCGAAACTTCAGTGAATCAGCAACCGACATTTCCTAACATTTCTCTGTCGCATTATTTAAGGATTTGCAGGATTGGTAGGGCTGATTATCAATGTAAGCGGACTGTATTTCCTGTGACACCAATCTGAATATCGTCTGTTTGCGTGATTTTCGTGAATAAAGAGAGCAAATATTTTGAATTGAATCGATCTGTGCTTACCTTGAGATATTCAGGGACTCGTTTCGACTAATGTAGGTTTTCCAGTTTCAAATCTCTGTGGGAAATATTGTTACTTTCGAAACATTCCACAGCAACAACCATCTCGAGCATCAGGGCCGTTTGTCCAGCGTTCTAGCAACTTGACTCTTCTCTCGTACTCCCAACCGTTTTTGACCGAATATCGTATATGAGGGGTGCGCGATATAGTCACAAATGGAAGCAAATACATTAGTATTACGGCCTAAATATTGGAAGTCGAAGTACAAAAAATACTTTCAAAAATTATCAGGTTATGAAAAACGATAATGAATGGGCTTGTTTCATGCTATTGAAAATGATACTAGTTTGCTTATAGACTGATTGAGTTAGTGGTATATTATACTTACCGAGCCTAATCGGTCCCAATACCTCTTTATATTCGCAGAAAAAAGAAAAATTCGAGAGGAAAGAGTTTAAATTGGCCGAGTTTCTGTTGACCAATAGATTGATCGTGTCTACAGCGGTGTTGTCAAAACTACATTGGCTCATACATTCAAGAGAGATAGCTGACTGGGTGGCAATATGGCTAATATATAACGTTGAATTTTTTTTTTTTTGGTGGGTGGCATGAATTCATAATTGATTGATTTTATTAGGGTTCATAAGCCTTCGAGAACCATTTAAAAATATACCTCGTTGAATTATATTTAAAACCATGGTTTTCGAGTACATTTTATTTCATCTGGAGAATTTTTCATGAATTCAAACGTTAACGAGTTCATATACACTTGCATTATTAAAACTTCTGTGATATCAAAATGAAAATGTCTACTGCCAGAGATATTTCAAAAATAACGTTATTGCGTTTTGTGTTATGTTGATCCCATGTATGATTAATCCTTCCTTCCAATGCATTTCTTACATTTTCTTCTTAGATTTAGTAGTCGGAAGTGCGAGTGTGATTTCAGTTTGAATCACGAGTGAATCAAAAACTGTTAATACCCTTCGTAAATTTTACAATTTGGCAATGTTCATTATTGGTATTGTTTCTATTGGACAATCGAACAAGAAGCGGGACTAGGCCCGTGACCTCACGTGTAGTGAAAACTCTCAAGAGAAATACAACGGTCACTTTAATCACTTTCCTGTTTTGATATCTGGGAAAACTTTCGTCCAATAACTTTTTCACTAAATATCAAAACACAGGGTTCGCAATATGCACATGTACCTTCGACTGACGTCATTTTAGTAACTACAGTTATATCTGATTCCTAAAATGTTCAGCATGAATGTACGAGGTCTGTTGAAAAAATTAGGTGAATGTTCAAATTTGGCGGGCTACCTACATTAGATAAGCGTACATAAGAAAACCTTTGGTATCGCATTATCGTCTCACGATAATGCATCTGGTTACTCGTTATGGCATGTTCACGATTTTTTGGCCAAAAACAACATCATAATCTTGCCATAGCCACGTCATCCACCAGATTTGCCCTCCTGCGAATTTTTTCTATTCCCATGATTGGAGAGACCTATGAAAGAACGACGTTTTGCGAAGATTGAAAAGAGTGGCACCTTGTTTTAAAGGTCTTTAGAATACCTTTACATCTCTGTTAAAAGACATGTTTTGTAAAGATTAGTTTTTGAGATAATTTGAAGATTTAAAGGTATTTATATTGAGTTCAACTCTTTAAAATAAATCAAATTGTTTTTAAGGTACAATTTACGTTCAGAACTTTTATAAAAAAAATACATTTTTGCTTTTTACGACAACCTGCTAATACGTGTGTCCATTTGATTTCGTAAAAAAGGAAGAATTATTTGTTTATTACGAGGAGATTTTTTCGGGGGATGGGGTTGACCACCCTTACATTTTAGGTAAATTGAGTGACACCTCCTTATGAATGTTGCCTTTTGACGTGGATATTTTATGCTTCTGATAAAAAAGTAAATCGTACTAAAAACTTACCTACACAACGAATACAACCCGCCGATTTCCTTGAATACTGAGTGAATACNAAACCAGATT